TGTGTGTGTGTGTGTGTGTGTGTGTTAATACACACACATCTTTACAAAAAAATTAAAAAAATTCGAAAATTTAAAATTTTCTTGTGTGTGTGTTAATACACATATTTTGGCAAGAAAATTAAAAAACTTCAAAATTTAGTATTTTTTATGTGTGTTAATACACATATCTTGACAAGAAGATTAAAAAAAACCTCTAAAACATAACATTTCCTTGTGTGTGTGTTAATACACACATCATGGCCAGAAAATTTCAAAATTCACAAATTTAACATAATTTGTGTGTGTGTTAATACAAAAATCTTTGCAAAAAATTAAAAAAACTTAAAAATTTAAATTTGTGTGTGTGTGTTAATACATGTATCTTGAAAAGAAAAATATAATAATAACTAAAAAAATTAACATTCTTTTGTGTGTGTGTTAATACACACATCTCGCCAAGAAAATAAAAAAACTCCAAAATTTAACATTTTTGTGTGTTATTACACATATATGAAAAAACAATTTTAAAAAAAAACTCGAAATTTAACATTTTTGTATGTGTGTTAATATAATTTTCTTGACAAGCAAATAAAAAAAAACTCAAAAATTTAACATTTTCTTGTGTGTTTCTTAATACACACATCTTGACAAGAAAATAAAAAATTAGTCCTGCTAACTTAAGAAGGAAAAATTCACAGAAAGAAACTCGAAAATTTAACATTTTATTGTGTGTGTATTAATACACACACCTTAGGAAGAAAATTAAAAAACTTCAAAATTTAATACTTTTTGTGTGTGTGTGTTAATACACATATATTGACAAGAAGATTAAAAAAACCTAGAAAGTATAACATTTTCTTGTGTGTGTGTTTTAATACACATCTTGGGAAGAAAATTTAAAAATTCGCAAATTTAACATTTTTTGTGTGTGTGTGTGTTAATACATATATCTTGGCAAGAAAATAAAAAAACTTGAAAATTTAACATTTTTGTGTTTGTGTCACGTATCTTGACATTTTTTTGTGTGTTAATATACTTTTCTTGACAAGCAAATAAAAAAAAAACTCAAAAATTTAACATTTTCTTGTGTGTTTCTTAATACACACATCTTGACAAGAAAATAAAAAATTAGTCATGCAAACTTAAGAAGGAAAAATTTACAGAAAGAAACTTGAAAATTTAACATTTTATTGTGTGTGTGTTAATATTACACACATCTTAGGAAGAAAATTAAAAAATTCAAAATTTAATACTTTTTGCGTGTGTGTGTGTTAATACACATATCTTGACAAGAAGATTAAAAAAATCTAGAAAATATAACATTTTCTTGTGTGTGTGTTTTTAATACACATATCTTGGGAAAAAAATTTAAAAATTTGCAAATTTAATATTTTTTTTGTGTGTGTGTGTTAATACATATATCTTGACAAAAAAATAAAAAAACTTGAAAGTTTAACATTTTTGTGTTTGTGTTTATACACGTATCTTGACAAGAAAAACAAAATAAAAACTCAAAAATTTAACATTTTCTTATGTATATGTTAATACACACATCTTGGCAAGAAAATTATAAAACTCGAAAATTTAACATTTTTGTGTGTGTGTGGTAATACACATATCTTGAAAAGAAAATTAAAAAAAACTCAAAAATTTAACATTTTTTTGTGTGTGGTAGTACAAACATCTTGGCAAGAAAATTAAAAAATTCGAAAATTTAACATTTTGTGTGTGATAGTACACATATATTCACAAGAAAATTAAAACAAAAATTTAAAATTTAATATTTTCTCGTGTGTTTGTTAAATACACAAATATTGACAAGAAAATAAAAAAATTAGTCCTGCAAACTTGAGAAGGAAAAATTCATAGAAAGAAATTCGAAATTTAACATTTCTTATGTGTGTGTGAAAAACACGTCTTAGGAAGAAAATTAAAAAACTTCAAAATTTAATATTTTTGTGTGTGTGTTAATACACATATCTTGACAAGAAGATTAAAAAAAATGTTATATGTTCGAGTTTTTTTTAATCTTTTGGTCAAGATATGTGTATTAACGCACATTCAAAAAATTACTAAATTTTGAAGTTAGAATACTAAATTTTGAAAATATGACATTTTCTTCTGTATGTGTTAATACAAACATCTTGACTAGAAAATTAAAAAAAAAAATCAAAAGTATAACATTTTCTTCTGTGTGTTAATACACACACCTTGACAAAAAAAATTAAAAAATTCACAACTTTAACATTTTCTGTGTCTGTAAATACACACATCTTGACAAGAAATTAAAAAAAAACTCAAAAATTTAACATTTTCTTGTGTGTATGTTAGTATACTTTTCTTGACAAGCAAACTAAAAAAAAACTCAAAAATTTAACATTTTTTGTGTGTTTGTTAATACACACATCTTGACAAGAAAATAAAAAATTAGTTCTGCAAACTTAAGAAGGAACAATTCACATAAAGAAACTCAAAAATTTAATATTTTCTTGTGTGCGTGTTAATATTCACATCTTGACAAGAAATTAAAAAAAAAACTCAAAAATTTAACATTTTCTTGTGTGTGTGTGTTAATATACATTTCTTGACAAGCAAATTAAAAAAAAATGCAAAAATTTAACATTTTCTTGTGTGTTTGTTAATACACACATCTTGACAAGAAAATAAAAAAATTAGTCCTGCAAACTTAAGAAGAAATAATTCACAGAAAGAAACTCGAAATTTATTATTTTCTTTTGTGTGTGTTAATACACACATTTTAGGAAGAAAATTAAAAAACTTCAAAATTTAATACTTTGTGTGTGTGTGTGTGTGTGTGTTATTACACATATCTTGACAAGAAGATTAAAAAAACCATGAAAATATAACATTTTCTTGTGTGTGTGTGTGTGTGTGTGTGTGTTAATACACATATCTTGGGAAAAAAATTTAAAAATTCGCAAATTTATCATTTTTGTGTGTGTGTGTGTGTGTGTTAATACATATATTTTGGTAAGAAAATAAAAAAACTTGAAAATTTTAACATTTTTTGTGTTTGTGTTTATACACGTATCTTGACAATAAAAACAAAATAAAAACTCAAAAATTTAACATTTTCTTATGTGTGTTAATACACACATCTTGGCAAAAAAATTATAAAACTCGAAAAATTTAACAATTTTGTGTGTGTGTGGTAGTACACATATCTTGAAAAGAAAATTAAAAAAACTCAAAAATTTAACATTTTTTGTGTGTGGTAGTACACATATATTCACAAGAAAATTAAAACAAAAACTCAAAAATTTAACATTTTCTTATTTGTGTGTTAATACACACATCTTAGCAAAAATATTAAATAACTCGAAAATTTAACATTTTGTGTGTGTGTGTGTGTGGTAGTACACATATCTTGACAAAAAAATTAAAAAAACTCGAAAATATAAAATTTTCTTGTGTGTGTTATTACACACATCACTGCAAGAAAAATTAAAAAACTCGAAAATTTAACATTTTTTTGTTTGTGAATACACATATATTGATAAAAAAATTTAAATACTCGAAAATTTAACATTTGCTTGTGTATTTGTTAATACACACATATTGACAAAAAAATAAAAAAAAAATTATCCTGCAAACTTAGGAAGGAAAAATTCACAGAAAGAAATTTATCATTTTCTTGTGTGTGCGTGTTAATACACACATCTTGGCAAGAAAATAAAAAAACTTCAAAATTTAGTATTTTTTTGTATGTGTGTTAATACACATATCTTGACAACAAGATTAAAAAAAACTCGAACATATAATATTTTTTGTGTGTGTTAATACACACTTTTTGGCAAGAAAAATTAAAAAAGTTTACATTTTTGTGAGTGTTAATACACATATCTTGACAAAAAAATTTAAAAACTCAGAAACTGAACATTTTCTTTTGTGTGTGTTAATAAAAGAAAAATAAAATAAAAACTCAAAAATTTAAAGTTTTCTTATGTGTGTATCAATACACACATCTTGGCAAGAAAATTATAAAACTATGTGTACAAAAAATGTTATATTTTCGAGTTTTTTTAATCTTCTTGTCAAGATATGTGTATTAACATACATACAAAAAAATACTAAATTTTGAAGTTAGAATACTACATTTTGAAAATATAACATTTTTTGTGTGTGTGTTAATACAAACATCTTGACAAGAAAAAAAAAAACAAACAAAAGTATAACATTTTCTTATGTGTGTTGATACACACATCTTGACAAAAAAATTAAAAAATTCACAAATTTAACATTTTTTGTGTTTGTAAATACACATATCTTGACAAGAAAATTATAAAAAAAAACTCAAAAATTTAACATTTTCTTGTGTGTATTAATACACACATCTTGACAAGAAATTAAAAAAAAAACTCAAAATTTAACATTTTCTTGTGTGTTTGTTAATATACTTTTCTTGACAAGAAAATTAAAAAAAAAACTCGAAAATTTAACATTTTCTTGTGTGATTATTAATACAAACATCTTGATAGGAAAATAAAAAATTAGTCCTGCAAACTTAAGAAAGAAAAATTCACAGAAAGAAACTCGAAAATTTAACATTTTCTTGTGTGTGTGTTAATAAACACATCTTGGCAAGAAAAATTAAAAAATTTGCAAATTTAACATATTTTGTGTGTGTTAATACACATATCTTGACAAGAAAATTATAAAAAAAACTTGAAATTTTAACATTTTCTTGTGTGTGTTAATACACACATCTTGACAAGAAATTAAAAAAAAAACTTAAAAATTTAATATTTTCTTTTGTGTGTTAATATATATTTCTTGATATGCAAATTAAAAAAAAAAACTCTAAAATTTAATATTTTCTTGTGTATTTGTTAAATACACAAATATTGACAAGAAAATAAAAAATTAGTCCTGCAAACTTGAGTCCCTATTATACAATAACTTTACATCAGCCTAAAACCGCAATTTAAAAAAGACAATAATGTACCACCATGTGGTTCGCATAGTATGAATTGTTGACGTCGTATTCTTGCTTGACCAAATTAATTAGAAGGCGTGCGTGGCCCATTAATTAATACCAGATTTGAGATATTTGCAGCATACCTTATGGGCCGTACACGATCATTAGCAATAGATTCTATTTAGGCCCAATAGACTCTAATTCTTCCAGTTGCAACCCAATTGTTTTTCTTTTTTTTTAAAAACAAACATGGAATGGTTTGTTAGTTAAGTCGAAGTTCTCAATACACAATCGCGGTAGAGACCGTAGACTCGAGCAATGTCCGTAGAACTAATATTCCACACATGACCCTTCAACGCCAAACGCAATATGCTATTGCTCTTCTTCCCTTCCTCGTCGCAGTAGCTGCTTTCTTCAACCGCAGCCGCCTCTTTTCGCTTCTCTTCTCTCCACAGACTCCTCACAAGCAGCTCTTTCGTCTCTCTGTCAGGCTTCAGTTTCATATCCTTCATGTCTTGGAACACTCTGTATGCAAGCACTGCTCTCTCGCACCTGCAATACGCCTGAACTAGAACCTTTAGCATGTAAGGATCTGGCTCCAGACCAATCTGTCTCACCATCGAGAAAAGTCTCTGAACTGTCTGAATCTCCCCCTGCAGTGCAAAGTGATACATTAAACCCGAAAACGTCTGGATATCGGGAGATATCCCGGTCGAAACCATCTCTTCTAGCGTTTCCAAAGCTTCCGCGTTTCTCTTGCACTTTGTTAGCGTCCTCAAGAGGGATGAGTACAACAGCATGAGGTTGAAATCCGGAATCGAACCGCATAGTGTTCTGTCTTGGCGGAAAACCTTGATGGCTGCTTCTGGTTTCTTTGAAATCCCGTAGAGATCAATGATCAGCCTGATGGTGCTGAATGGTAGTTTGATCCCTTCGATTCTCACCTTCGAAATGAGCTTATCGACCAGCTCAACATGACCGTTGCGTGCTAACATAGCCATCATTCTCTCAATAGTGTAGGCGTCATGTGTAAACCCGGGTTGAGTCGCTACCCAGCAGAAGAAACTCCATGCGGTTTCAGATGATTTGAAGCTTCTTAGCATCTTGCAGACCAAAATATTTGTCCACACGAAGTTAGCTTCTTCCAAAGCTGTGACTGCATCAGAGCTCCACTTATTTAACGAGCTTGCTAGAGCTTTTGGATCCAGCCATGGCTTCAACTTCACTTGACATTCAGTAACATCATCGTCCTCTTTTTCTTCTTCGGTGTCGCTGGGATTGTCCATAGAATACATGGAAATGTCCTTGATTCTCTCATCAGGCAACATTTCTCTCAAGAACTCTTGAGTTTCTTGTTCAAATCCAGCCTCTCTCATGCGTTTCAGAGGCTCAAGCATGCGTCTACTTGGAAATTTCCCATCAGCTTTCATCTCAGCAAGCAGAGTCTTGACTGCGCCATACCGTTGCGCGCCAACAAAGGCTTCAACCAAAACCGCATAATGCTTCAGAGTCCTTGCGATTCTCATCAACGGCAAGGTCTCGAAAATCTTCATGGCTGCATCAAGATTCCCCAAACCCAAAAGATGCTCAATCATAATTGTGAATGTTCTTGAATTCGGAATACCTCCTTCGTGGATCATCTGATCAAAAGTTTGCACGGCCTCGGAATCTTTACCTAAACTCATGCAAACCTGCATAACGATGTTATAGGACTCAGTGCAGCCTTTCTTATCCTCTCCCGAGCATCTATACTCGTCCCAGGTCTTGAGAACCGAGTCGAAATCACCAGCGGTGGCGTACAAGTTCATGAGATTCATAAAGCTGAAATGAACATGGCCGAATTTCCCAGCATTGACAACTCCAATAAGAGACCGAAGCTCTGAAGATCGCTGGAACTTGGCAAGAACAGTGGCGAAGGAGTGAAGGGTCTCAGTTTCGGATGAAAATCGAGGGTTTTGTTTGGTAAGGGTTTTGAAGATGGACCAAGCAGAAGCGACGGAAGGAGATGAGCGTAGAGCGTTCTTCACGACAAAGGAATCGAGAAGACGGTGGTTCAAAAGACTTGCTAGACTCGTTTCCGAGGCTGTGGTGGAGCGGAGGCTGAGGCGGATAGAGTCGATGAGGCTTGCTCGGTAAAGGTAGTGCTGGACTTTGTTTGGGAATGGATCACGCGAAAATAATCGAATTTGCTGGATTTTTGCGGGATGAAGTGGCTTAACGGAGGTCGACAGCTTCAGGGCAAACATCTCTAATCTCACGTTGACGAAAGAATCAAATAGTGGTGGTTGGGACAAATTGTCGAACAACTGGTGTGCTTTCGTGAAACAAGAAACGAGTGAGACTGCCCCAACTGCGAAAGACAGAGCTTTCACTGTATAAAACGAATTTTGTATGAAATTAATTATATCTGAATAAAATTAACAGGAGAACAAAAAACACTTTTGGTTTAGGCGGGAATGGATATCCAACGCAAGAATTGAATCCCACGAAGATGCAGTCGCAAGATCCTTTAAAGGTTCCAACTTTAACCGGAAGACGAAAGAAGAAAGAAACACAAGCTTAACTGAAAACAAAAAAAAAAAACAGTTTACACACACTCACCAAACCAAACAAGGGAAAAGCCGAAAAGGTGTGTACTTAAGTGATGGCTACAAGAACCCAGGAAAACGTGTGTATCATATGTATATGGTATTATGTCGTTCGTGGCGGAATTTGAATCTGGGATCGTCTTCAACTCCGGCGAAGAATCTCTTTGAGGGTTGCCTGCAGGCTGGAATTTGTCACCATCTGGTTAACTTTCCTGAAACCATCACCGTAGACTGGTGATTCATCTGTCTCTATCTGATACTTGCAAAACTTCACCAGCTCCTTCTCGAAATCAGACCATTCGCCTTTCTTCGACGCAATGGCTTCAGGAGTGCGGGAAGAAGAAGTAGAAGCTGACGATGAAGCTGCAGCATCATCAATGGGGGCGTACCTCTGAGAATCCAACCACATGTGTCCCAACACTTGGCATATTCCTTCTTCCAGAACATTGTTAAGATTCCTATGTCCTGTAATCAAACAAAAAACACTCTTGAGAGACCTCTCTCCCTCATCATCTCATGGATATTGAGGGGTTTTGAGCAATACTCTTACCATTGAGTCGAAGATAAGCATGCATCATCTCGTGAGCCAAGATGTATCCAGTTAGTAACCTGGGAAGTCCATATAAGATGAGAATCGCAGTGACCTCGCACTCACTCGCAACCCTTTGAGATTCCCTACGCATGCCTATTAGCTGCTTCTTGTTCGGCCCCATCCTGGGCCTTTCCGAGACCTGTATATATATAGTTTAAGCCACGAATTCCACAGTCTTGTTTTAGACTCTAAAAAAAGCGCATAAGTTCTTACACTTGTGACGATCTGCTCTTCAGACAGGCAAATACCTCTGGTTACCATCCCGCCCTGATTGTCCTGCTTGTGTTGAAACTCACAACACGTGTGAGTGAAAAGAGAGAGAGCTAAGAGAGACGAAATCTTGAGTTAGGAAATGTACTCACAATCTTCTCTTCCTCCTCGGCTTTATTGAGGGCTTGTTTCTCCACCAAAAGAAAAGGAAATTCTTTCTGAATCTTCATGTTTAAGCCTTCGAAGAACTCACGGATTTCAAAGTGCAGAGGCTGGGCTTCGTAAGTATCCATAACCGCTGATTCCATGCATTCTAGGCATAGCCACCTACCATCATCAAGCATTACGAAGTTCGTTCCCTTAGGCTGCAAAGAAACACATGAGCAGCACTCAAACCAGTGTCTCTTTCTCATTCCCTTTTGCCGTGTTTTGTTACTTGAATGGTAAACTCACCTCTAACCTCTCGCAACTGAGACACTTGCGAGTTCCGTCAAATTCATGAGCAGGGCAGTATTTCTCCTCCCAGAAAGGATGTTGATTGAACATTCTAATCTGAAACAATACGATTACAGTTACATTCAATGCTCTCCGTGAAAAAAAAACCCAACAAGGAATCCATAACTTGCCTAACCTTTACTTTCTCTTTGCAGACATAGCAGTACCGGTGACAGCAGGATTTGTGAAACTTGCCTCTTGAGTTTGAAACCTGAGGATTTCAGGTTTTGCATCAAAAAATTGCAAACGAACAAGTCAAGGAGCAAATTCGAAAGGGAGTTTTTCTTACATGGTTTTTAACCTCGTGGATAGCAATTGGCTTGTGGCAAGCAACACAACAAAAACATTCAGGATGCCAAAGAACACCCGATACATTGATTGATCTTCCGTCTTCAATCTCAGAGTTGCATTCACAACACATGCTACAAGTGAACACTCGTAAACAGGTCAGTGCATACATTTATAAGTTGAAATAAAGAATGCAAGAAAACTAGCAATAGACGCATCGGCTTACCTACGAGGAGGATTCACCTCTATGAGCTTGCCATCTGCTTCCACCTCATCTTCCGCTTGCTTCATTTGACCCTTCCCCTTCAAACTCTCCCAGATAATCCGCTGCTCATCTTCATCATCCAACGGAGCCCTGGAGGAAATGTTGCTATTTTCTTCATGTCGAGGAGGAGACACTACCATGTTTAGACCCTCCTGAACAACCACGGCAAGCTGTTCATCCTTCTTCTCTTGTTCATCTTCAACTTGCTTTACTTTGCCTTTCTCCTTTAAACTCTCCTCAACAGCCTTAGCAAGCTGCTCATCTGCATTCAACAGAGCTCTACGAGAAACACTTCTATGTTCTTCAACATGAGGAGGAGACTCTACCATGTTGAGACTCTCGTGAACAATCAGAGCAAACTGTTCATCCTCCCTCACTTGTTCTTCAAACTGTTTTTTTTCGTCTTTCGCCTTTAAACTCTTCTCAACAGTCTTAGCAAGCTGGTCATAATCTTCGCCATTCAATGGTGGTTGATTATTAATCTGCCTTTCTCTTTCCTCGTATAAAACCCCATTTGCTATCTGCGCATCCACTTCTAACTCTCTGGCGCGCCTTCTTTCCTCTGCCTCCTCTTGTTGACGAAGACGAGAAGATTCTTGAATGGCTGAAGCAAGATGTTCAGCTTCTTGAACATCAGCATCATGCCGTGAAACTTGTATGGCGATATCAGTTTCTGCTTCAAAAGGATCCTACAGATTTTCAGAGGCCAAACAGTTATAGGTCTAGAAAGAGAAAAAAAAAAGGGAATTCAACTTCAAACCAAGCATAAGCAAGCTTGGCTGAGACAAAAGAGACAACCAAACATATCATATTACCACAGAAGTGGAGGGTTTGAAGCAGGGGAGGCACCACATCCTCTGAATCCCACTTCTTCGCCGATCTGGCCAACCTTTTCCCTGCAAAGGATCAACCATTAACCACGAGGATCGGAAGAGCATCAAAGGTTTAATCTTTCAGGCCAAACACCTGCAACTTAATCAAATAAACGAAAAACTAGGCTTGGAAATTTCGCAGCATCATTAGGAAACAAATTGGTAAATGATTAGAACATCGGCATTAGACACAAAAGAAACCACCTAGTACACAGCCACACAGCTTGGTATGAAATCGGAAGAAAGAAAATCTATTTCCTAATGGAAGCCGAGATTGTCTGAAACGATTAACCAGGATATGATCCAACCTGAGACGAAACAGATATCCAAAGGAAACAGAAGAATCTGACAAACACAAGATTAGCCAAGAGCACGGCACTTGAGCTGGAAGTGGAATGCAGAGACTAAAACGGCAGTATTTCATATGGGTTTTGCTACAACTCCTTAATTTTGAGGTCGACGCGTTTGCTCAATGTCGCATTTGAAACATTTTGAAACTTTATGACGGAGAATCTTTATAAAAGCCGTCAACTTTAATTACGAACGACTCGGAGGAATTCGGAACAAGTGGAATATAATAATGACAAAAGTCAACACTTACCCAAGCCGTTGGTGAGATGCTGCTGCTAACGCAGAAGAAGATGGAGAGGCCATGGCTTTTTGGGTTTCGTTGCAGCCCAACAAAAGAAGCTTTTTTCCTTTCCTTTTCCTCAAGTGGAAAGAAACAACGACAGATCTTCCAGGAGAGTTTCCAGAAATTTCCCGAACAAAATAAATACTTTCACTCTTTATGTGTTGAATCGGTCGTGAGGGCGAAGAAAAGAAAAAGGAGACGGCGACCGAATGAAAGAGAAACACTTCACACTTGTGGTCCAGGCTTCCAGCTGTGTTTTTCGCATACGTGGCGCTACCACATTTCTCAGTGGTATTTTCGTAAATTTTTAGTTTTTTTAATTAGACGATTGTTGCCGTTTCATGCAAATCCAATTGAATTGGTTAAAGATTTAATTTAATTGAGATTATTATATACCGGGATTTGAACCGAATGGGCGAACTGCGAAGTAATAACATTTAAACCATGGGCCTAGTGGTTCATTTAACATAAGCCTCTAAGCTTAGTGGTTCATCTACAAATGATGAAATAACATAAGCCTCTAAGGCCCATAGGCTATTTTTTTAAAAAGGTGTGTCGACAACTTGACGTTGTTGCGTAAACGCCAGTGACGTCTCTCGAACTCTTCAAACAAACCACATTTGGTGCTCCACGTGTAAAATATTTCGAAAAAAAATAAAAATGAATTAAAACAATTATCCTTCGCTGTACCAACTACAAAAGTCGTATTAAGCAGTGATTAAATCTCCAAAAGGACAGTTTGTAATCATTTACTTTTTCAGCAGGCCACGATATATAAAAGGTACGAACAACTTCTTCGGTGATAGTCGACAAAAATGATGATCAAAGATGTTCAAAACGCAGTCATGGGAGTCGACAAGATTGCAAAGGACCAAGCTTTTCAGTCACCAGGAGATTATGTTAGGTTCATAAGCCCAGAGGTTTATAGATTCAACAGACAGAAATATCTCCGAAGCTACACGTTCAAAAGCTACGAGGATGAAGCAAACTTGTCGTCCAAGAAACAGAGCAAGTGGTTTAAGAACAAAAAGATGATCAAGTTTAAGAAGACGAGTGACTCACTTGGAAACTCGCTCAAGTCTTGTCTCAGGCTCTTGTTCTCTTGTTTTCATGTCTGATTCTTATATAATTTTCATTTTCTTTTTTGTTAATCGTAATTTCAATCCATCTTCACTTTGCTGTTGGAATAATTTCGAACTCCTTGTACAAGCTTATCTAAATTGAATTCGAATATCGCATTACCGTTTTCAATTTAATAAATAACTATTTCTCTCTTTTTTTTTTATTATTGCATATACTTTAAAAAACTGACCGACGAAATGTTGCTGTTTTATCAAATTGTTAGAGTCCAGAGAGAAGATATGAATTATTTATCAAACCAAAAAAAAAGGTATGCGTTTTTTTGTTTGATTGTTTTAAGTTAATTATATAAGCCGGCACAGTCGAATTCACAGAAAGTTTCTTCAAACAGAATTCTTTACATTATTACAAACAATGCACTGTATTATAAATCTAGAGAGTTGACCTATGTTTAATGTATACACACATCAATTCATTGTCATGGAAGAATATTACCAAAAACAAAATTATATGGATTAAATCAACTTTTGTTTCGTTTTTATGAATAATAAAAAAAGGGTAGAAGGAGACGTGTGCTCTGGTTTTATCATAAATAAATAAATAAAGGGTAGAAAGAGACGTGTGCTGGTTAAGTTGGTCCGTCTCCGTCGCGATCAATGGACCAAGATAATTCGTAATCAAAGTGATTCTTATGTATATTAAGGTAACTTTCTGATACTATGACTTGAATTATATTATTTTTATCACATTTTTTCTTACGTGTGAAATATATCAAGTTGAGTCTAGACATATTTGGTGCTTGTGTAAAGAAGAGCTGAAGAGGTCTGGATGTTAATGACGACGATGGATCATGCTGTTTATCAAGCTACTGCAGTACTTCGTGGTATAAGACTCAAAAGGCCCATTAAACGAGGTTAACAAAACCCACTAAGGTTGGTTGAACAAAAAAAAACCCACTAAGGTTCAACTTCTAAATTTATGGGCCCATTAAACGAGATTAAGAGAACCCACTAAGGTTGGTTGAACAAAAAAAAACTCACTAAGGTTCAACTTCTAAATTTATGGGCCCATTAAACGAGATTAAGAAAAGGCCCATTTTACGAGATTAAGAAAACCCACTAAGGTTGGTTGAAAAAAAAAAAAAAAACTAAGGTTCAACTTCTAAAGTTATGGGCCCATTAAACGAGATTAAGAAAAGGCCCAATAAACGAGATTATGAAAACACACTACGGTTCAACTTCTAAATTTATGGACCCATTAAGCGAGATTAAGAAAAGTCCCATCAAACGAGATTAAGAAAACCCACTAAGGTTCAACTTCTAAATTTATGGGCCCATTAAACGAGATTAAGAAAAGGCCCATTAAACGAGATTAAAAAGGTCCATTAAATGAGATTAAGAACCCACTAAGGTGGGTTGAACAAAAAAAAAGAAAACCCACTAAGGTTCAACTTCTAAATTTATACGCCCATATTACATCAATTACGGGTGTGGGACTCTTTCTGACACCAAAAACCTTCCCTTTCGGATCAATCCAAAAGAGTACTCTTTTCTTTTGTCAGTCCAATGATAAAATTATAAAACAAATCTTCGTTCGTTAATGCTTCTAAAAATAAAATAAAATTAACGAGTGAAGAGAAATGAAAGACTGAAAACAAACCTCGTATATTGTAAATCCATGTCCGACGTTATTCCGAATTCGAGGAGATTAGCGTTAAGCTCCAAAACAAGGTAAAGTTAGTTTACCACTACCCATACACTCTCTTTTGTTCTTTACCATAAACTCTCAGTGTCTCGCTCCCCTAAACTTAACAATTGCAAAATACAATATATATCCATGGAACTAAAAGCATTTAAAATAAAACTAGAGACTGATTTCGAAACTAAAATCATCGGGTCGGGTACGTAACGTTGTATTATTATATCTTTTAAAAAATTATATAACGACTAGTTGAAATATGACGACAATATAATATGGAGGAGACATTCGATTGCCCCACCTTTATTTATGCATTGATCTTCGGAGGAACATGAAAAACTTTATGCGTTCACATTCCAAATATTTATGCACTTTTTCTCGTGTGATTCCTTTGACAAACGGAAGTCGACTTCTCAGACACAAACAATTTTCCGGACATGTCATTTGTCAAATTTTCTCATCTCTCACTCCACGAAAAGTAGAAGAGAGAGAGAGAGAGAGGCTGAGACAAGTCACAAGAGCACAAAAAAAGAAAAAGAAAAAAAGCTACCATCTTCATTCAAAAATGTGATGTTTCCTTTTTAGCCCTTTTACTTTCATTTCTTTTGAGGTCAGTTTTTCTGTCTTGTTCCATCTTATTTTTCTGTTGAGCTAGTTACATTTGGAATTTTATCACTTCCTTCTTCTTCGTTTTTACTTTTGCTGCCCCCAGGCCATTATAATAATATAATCCTTTTTCATGTTTGGATACATTATTCGATGTCCTTTGTTTTCGGGTGGATCAATTTAATGTATACGAGTGACTTTTGGCTTTTCACAAACGGGGACATGGGCTCACGGGTTTATTGCAGATTAAGTGTTCGTTGAAATGTCTCATTTGTACCATCTCCTATGTTATGGCCCCTGCTCCCATCTCGTAACTTTTTTGTGATTAAACTGGAGAGGAATTTCTGATTCAGTCTGAGAAAATTTTTCCTATAAAAGTCAAAATATGAATAGAATATATTAAGATCGAATTAACGATAAGAGAAGAATATTGCCAATGGGGGCCATGTGATTCAAGAACTGTGGAAGAGGTAGAGGGCCGGTCAACAACTCCGACTTGCTTGCTAACAAGCCGAACTAATCTTAACAGATTTATTAACAAATATGTTCTTTAGTGGTTAAAAACTTAAAGCCCATGAATCTGACTGAATATTAAGAAAGATTATATCAAGAAAAAGATAATATACTATAAAATTGTTATTTTTGTCGCAACTCTATAACTTTTATATATAGCTTACAAATTTATTATTAACCTTTATTTGGTTTGATCACCTTAGGCACCACAGTAACTTTGTTTTTTTAAGGCAAAACAGTTTTGTCACTTTGTCTATTTTGACTATCTATGTAGATCTCTAGCTCTTTGTTTTTGTTTTTGTTTTTGCCGAATTGGTTGGAAATTTTTGACGACTCGTGGGGTCTTGTACACATTGGTGACTTGCTTTTTTTTGACACGAGTCGACTCTCTTCTTCTCACTACCATTTCCGTGAAACATGAGCCATAGCTATTAGCTAACTTTTCTCCTTCCATTGAATCCCACCAACGCTTATTTTTGCCCCTTTTAATGTTAAAAGCTCCCTCCTTTATTGCTAAAAAAGATACAAGTTTCACAAGTTTATAGTTTCCGTTGGCGTATTACAGGTGAAGAAGATTCACTTGGCTTTTTCACAAAAGTCCCCAACTTTTCAGCCTATCTGTGTAATTTTTGGTATGGGTTTTGCTAAGCCCTGCGGTTTCTGCCTCGATCTATTGAAGCATTCCCTGTAACCCTTTTACTCCTGGGAACTGCTAAGGAAAAAAAGTCAGCTCATTTATTTAGACAAAATGGGATATGGAGTTGGTGGTGGAGGTAGTAGAATGTTGGATTTGAGGATGGTCCAAAGCCACAAGCGTTCAAAAAGGTGAACTGTCCATTCTATTGTTCGTTATTAACAACTGCTTCTTTTCCTTGTAGATTGCTCTAAATGTGTCCCTCTTTTCTGTTAATGGAATCCCTTGCTGCGATGGGTCACGGCAGAAACTGGAAAATTTGAGAGTCTTGGTTGCAAAATCACTCAGATCTTCTGTTTTCCGTTGCTTACATTTCAGTTTGGTGGTCCTGAACAAGATAAAGTGTCTGCTGAAATTTTAAACTTTGTTAGTGTAGTGGATGAAGAATCGATGTTTGAATTGATTCTGATACAAAATGAATTTAAGAGACATTCTTGTTAAATGCGTATGTGATGATAAAAGGGTAAAAAATGTGTTTTTTTGGTCTGGGTTTCATGCAATCTGTTTCTAAAAGGTAAAAATCTATTGAGTATCTTTATTCATGCCGTTTCCATTGATTCTTCGTAATTGCTCTTTATGCACAGTGCCAGCTTTCCAGAAAAGAAAAGAGCCGAGGGAGAGAAACCCTCTAATAGTTCTCTTGAAGCCTCTCAACGCATCAAGCTGGTGAGTACGATCATCTTTTTTGCTTTATTTACATTGTAAAAGTTGTTATAAAGTGTATTGGTATTTGTTAAAGAACAGCCTAAGACGCTGAGACATGATTCTTGCCTTCTTGGATTTATCTCTCTGTTTCTTTGATTAACAAGTATCTTTTTCTCTCTCTTTTTCCCCTCAAGCTGCTTTTTTCTTTTCCATCTTTTTTGTGAAAGCCTTTACACAAATGTTTCGCTATACTTCTTTGTATCCTTCTTATTTGTCTTACAGTTTTTTAAAAGGAGTTTCCTTTCTGTTATTAAGTTTTTTTTTATAACTAATCTCTCTCATATATAACAAAGAGTCCGAAGCTGTTCTTCTAAGTCTTATAAAACCCTCTTCTGAGACAGATTATCTTTTGTCTGAATTGGTTTAGGACATGGGTCGTTCAAATGAATCAACCAGAACCAAGCATACTCAATATCATTCAAACACTGAAACTTCATTGAAGCAGGAGGTAATGTGTTCACTTTTTTTACTTTGTTCATCTCCTTGTTCGGTGGATTAGGCTCAGTTACCTTATTCTTGTGATTGGAATCACAGATTGGCCAGCTCGAGACAAGATTACAAGATCAGTTTAAGGTTCGTTGTGCGTTAGAGAAGGCGTTGGGTTATCGAACAGCCTCTTCTTACATATTGAGTGAAACCAACGACATTCCCATGCCCACGGTCAGTTACTTAGATTTCCCAGAACTGTATATGCTTTAGAAATGAGCTTTGTGCACATATAAAGATATACGTTCTTGTTTTCGTTGTTTTGTCCTTCTTCAGCCAGCTACTGATTTGATCAAAGACATTGCGGTTCTTGAGATGGAAGTTATACATTTGGAGCAGTATCTCCTTTCGTTATATCGAAAAGCCTTTGACCAGCAAATCTCTTCCGTGTCCCCAAATTCAGAGAAGAAGAAGCCAAAGTCTCCTCCTGTAACAACAACAACCCCTAGAAGACGTCTAGAATTTTCTGAAGATGATGATGATACACCATCCAAAACAGATCAGCCGACCAATCCTCTGCTTGGTGATTATCAAAATCAACCAAAGGAAACCGAAACGGACCCCAGTTTTCACCGTAGCCACTCCCAGGGATCAGCATTTGGGAGTAGAAAAGCTTCTCCGGAAGATTCTTGGAGTAAAGCCATCCGCTCTTGCCACTCCCAACCGCTGTATGTGCAAAACGGAGGAGAAAATCTAATCAGTCTAGCTGAACATCTTGGCACCCGGATCTCGGATCATGTTCCAGAGACACCCAACAAGTTATCTGAAGGAATGGTCAAGTGTATGTCGGAGATATACTGCAAGCTTGCGGAGCCGCCTTCTGTGCTAAATCACAGCCTCTCATCTCCAAACTCGTCTTTATCATCGAGTGCGTTTTCGCCCTCTGACCAGTACGACACATCGAGCCCTGGATTGGGAAACAACTCCTCTTTCGATGTACGTTTAGATAACTCATTCCATGTAGAAGGAGACAAGGACTTTAGTGGTCCTTACAGAACCATGGTTGAAGTGCTCTGCATTTACAGAGACGCCAAAAAGGCCAGTGAGGTCGAAGATCTTCTGCAAAACTTCAAGTGAGTCGCTTTGACATGATGAGAGTAGAATTTGATTTTATGTGAATTAGGATATATTTCAATCTTGAAATGTTTCAAACTCTTGCAGGTCGCTAATCAGTAGATTGGAGGAAGTCGATCCAAGGAAGTTGAAACATGAGGAGAAGCTGGCCTTCTGGATAAATGTGCACAACGCACTTGTGATGCATGTAAAATCTTTTTCTTCAAAGAACCAATCTCGTTTTGCCGACGCTAAGACTCTTAATTCAGATTTCTTTCAATATCTTTTAGGCCTTTTTAGCTTATGGGATTCCACAGAACAATGTAAAGAGAGTCCTACTGCTACTCAAGGTAACATCTCTTCCACAAAGAACACATGAACAATCTTTTCTATGTGTTGATCACGTTTTTTCAGGCTGCATATAACGTTGGTGGACACACAGTTAGCGCGGAAGCAATACAAAGCTCTATTTTTGGATGCAAAATGTCTCATCCTGGACAGGTAAGTTAGAGAACAAATCATGAATATTTTGAAACCAGAAAACTTAGAAAGTAAAAGACTTTTTTCGTTTCCTTTCTCTTTCAGTGGCTTAGACTACTATTTGCCTCAAAGAAATTCAAAGCAGGAGATGAAAGATTAGCTTACGCAATCGATCATCCCGAACCTCTCTTACATTTTGCTCTTACTTCAGGCAGCCACTCCGATCCCGCGGTATTGATCTGTAAGAGAAACTGTGAAACCCTTTTGATGCCATTAAAAGCTGACTCAAGAAGTCTCTGCTTCTTCTTGGTTATTGAACAGGTTCGTGTATATACACCGAAAAGGATCCACCAAGAGCTCGAAACGTCGAAAGAAGAGTACATAAGAATGAACCTACGGATACGCAACCAGAAAATCCAACTGCCAAAGCTTGTGGAGACGTTCGCCAAAGAGTCCGGTTTATGTCCAGCGGGTTTGACGGAGATGGTTAACCGGAGTATACCGGAATCTTCAAGAAAATGTCTTAAGAGATGTCAAACCAATAGTAAATCTCGCAAGCCCATTGATTGGATCCCTCACAGCTTTACATTCAGATATCTTATTCTTAGAGAAGCTGCCAAATGAAAACTATTCATATATAATGTTAATGTGTGTGTATATAAAGGATCCTTGTCAATGTCTGATTATAATAATGTTGTTTCGTTTAGATGATTGGATCTTGTCTGAGTCACTTGGCACTTTCAAATATCTCACAGCTTGTACAACGGTCGTATTATAATGATGTATCATAACATCAATCAGATCAAATCAAATTATTCGATTTATATAATTCCAAAATACTACTTCAGTAAATCTCATCAAACGATTTGTGAGGAAGGAATCTGTTTCATGGATTGTTATTTTTTTGTTCGCATATATTATTAATCTCATTTATTCTAGTATGGCTTCTGGCCAATTATATTTCCCGGAGGATTATAGAAACAAATGGTCAAAACCGTTGACTCATTAGTACACGTGGCTTGAGCACAGCCGAGCTCCTTGGAGTCTCTCCACACGACTTGTTTATAGACCCCACACGTGTGATTCGCGGCACACTTGTCTGACTTGTAGTCGTAGAAAGGCTTCTCCCTCACCCAAGTCTCCACCGCAAGAGACGGCGTCACGGCCAAACCCTTAGCCCAAAGCTGGTTCGCGCCGTATTTGCTAGGGTTAAGACTCGCAAACTCGCATTTCTTCTGGTTCCTCTGGTAACGAGCCAGCAGACTCGCCGCTGCTTCGAGGGTCTGGCTCCAAACTAACGGCGGAACACCGACCATGGCTCGAGCCCTGTTGTGTGCGTCGGTGAAAGCTTTAGCCGCCGCAGACATGGCCGGAGCAGGAGCGGTTTGTGTTGGTTTCGATTTCGTAGGCAGAGAGACAGAGGCGACGGAGATGACAAGAAGTGCCACGAGGAGGATGTGATGAATTATAGCCATTTTGGGTTGGATATCGCAACCTGGAAAGAAAACTATTCGTTTATATAGCCATTATTAAGGTTATAAAAACTATATATTATAGAAGATGAATAATGGAGAAAGATATGAATTGGTGGAAGGAATTTCGGGAAGGAGACAAAATAATAAAACTAGAAGGGAGAGAGGATCATGGCACGTGAAATGGTGATTGATCCCTGAAGCTGTCTGTGTTGCATGTGACAGACAGATACCCAACTCTATTTAATTTCTTTTTGTTGCTTTCAAGGCCCATTAATGCTTATAGGGCCAATGGGTCCAGCCTCCTTCGCCTCGCATATTTCGTTCGATTATTGCACTTTTAATTTTTTTTTCTAAAATTATTTTGTTCCGTTTCATGTATTTGCTTTCTCCACGACTGCGCCCTTAAATTATTGGGGTTCTTCTTATGCGGTGCAGATGCAATCGCCAAAGAAACAAAGACAATTGGATTTCACTTTTTGTGGCTGGCAACAAAGAATTTGAAATGTTCTCGTCTTTAGTTTTTTACTGGGTCGTTTTTCTTTGTCACGATGTATTATTTGTGGTAATATGGTCATAAATGCACAGGTAATTACAAGTGGAAGTAATAAATTTGCAAGAAGGGAAGTAAAAATGGACCACGACCTCCATCAGAACATATCTTGACCTTAATCCTTATCTTGTTTCTTAGAGACAGAAGAAAACAAAGCTTCCCGTCAAAGATTGCATCTTGCAAATTGCAATGCAGCCTTACATAGAGTTACATTTCAAAATTGTTTTAGATTCAACTGTCGTTGGTTCGGTTGGTGTATATATCACCAAATTTAGGTAAAACTACGACGGACAGATTTGCCGGTTATGAAGGATATTGGAGATTCATAAAATTGTTAGACGGACCACATTAGGCACGAGATAATTAATTTGCCTACGAAATTGCATTGTATTAAGATTGGAATCACATCACTGGAATATATCATTATCCTCATGCCCATTTCTCAAATTCTAAAGCAACAAAAAAATAAAAATGTAAAATCTAATGGATAATTTTTGTTCTCCATAAAAAAAGAGTCAAACGTCTCTAATTACAATTTTTACGTCGTCCAATTTTTTCCCCCCTCAAAATGACTAAATCGATCCTACTCGGCGATCGTGCTTAAATTCGCCGTAAATCTCCTCTTCGCTTTGCCACAACCTCTTCCGCCACCGCCGTTCGTCTTCACTCCGGCCATGTTTTGAGTGTGGTACGATTTTTCCGACATCGAGATATCGCCGTCGCCGGCAACCCAACCGACACCGCCGCTCTTGGTCAAGGCCGAGCTCGCTTTAACAGCCAAAGCGGCCATTTCCTCCGCCCTTAAGGGGTGATTGAGCCACGTCAGAGGCAAAACGAAGTAAAGCTGCCCCGATCGAAGCTCCTCGTTGCCAGAGACTGCTGAAACGGCGTCGTCAAAGTCCATTTCGTCTGAATTACAGACGAAACTCGTCGGGTACTTGTGCAAGATCTGCCAAACTTTGATCGGAGATGAGAACTCTTGTAAAGTTCCGTCGAAGAGTATAAGCTTAGCCGAATCGCCCTTTATAGATTCACGTGAAACGCACGCTCCCATTTTTGCTTCTTTGTCTCTGAAGAAAAACGTAACTCTCTGAGTTGACTCGTGAGATTAAGGTTTGTAGTAAGAGGACTAGAGGAGAGATCTCGTTGGTGTTGTGTTGTGTTGTGATTGTGAATTGAAAGAGACGACCTTGTGAGGAGTTTATATATATGAATATTGAGGAAGAAGAAGACAGACTCGCGAATCTAAACTCCACGTAGGATTTGTCATGTAGTGATAACAGCGGAACATGACAGCTCATGGTTGGGATATTGTTTTCCGACTGATTTGACAAAACGGACCCTCGAGCGAGGGGTATATCGGGAAATAAGGAGAGATTTAACGTGGCGAAGAATGAGAGAGGAAGGAACTTAGGTGGTGAAGGAGGAGCGGGCCACGTGGAAGACAGAGGCATGACGGGCAAGCAGACAAGATTGAGTTGGCCGGGAGGTTTTCGGCCTTCTCCGGTGGGTTTCGATCACGTGAAGACAATAGGGGACTGGCATGGGTGAGTGGGTCCCACCACTGTTCTAGGTCCGATTAGATTCTTTTGGACCCTTTTGGTAGATACAAGAGTCACCACCTACCGTCATATTTTAAATTATTACTTTTTATTTTGCATGAGTGTGTGGCATTAATGAGAACCTAAGAAAATTAATGAGATCGTAAAATATACCAGTAGTAGTATTTTTTTCATGTTGGACGGTATGCCGTATGCGAAAGCTGTATAGAGTGTTTTGTGTGTTTACGATATTATTATATGCATACTCTAATGACTTTATTCTAATCGATTTGTTGAGGAGTGTCGTCTTTTTTATGTTAAAGTTGGACCTATTGCCTTTTATTTAGATATTTATTTGAAATGGATCTGTTAAGAAAAGCAATAATTTCATTGGTAAATATCTAACTGCCCTACCACTTTATACTACTTTCTGAATACAAAATAGCTTAAACTTGCTATTAAGTGAAAAAAAAAAAAAAAACTATTTACAACACACACAAAGAAATATCTTCCCTATGTTTGTGTGGGACTGGAATCACCCACGTCTCCATCGATATCTAATCAGCGGATGGCTTTATTTTAAAAAATTCGATGCTTAGGCTGATGTATCTTTTGTTTTTTACATACGTAGAACTAGTAGTCCCAAGTTCATTTTCTTTGTTTTTGTTCATCTAACCGTTTTACTTGAATAATAAAATAATGGTCAGTCAGATTCTAGTGGATAATAATCTCCCACGGTGGTGACATACATATATAAGGCCAACAATTGCTATTACCTGCGGTGTGAATTAGACAATAAGACAATTTTGCTTACGATGCCCCATTTTGAGCACGAGGCCTGTTTTGTCGCGATTTGAACTTCTCTTTTATAGAGTAATTTTTATTTTTAATTTATTTGTTACCGTCTGTTTAAAAATGCTTTCCTGCTTGTGAATTGATCGACTATCCGTGAAATGGAATCTAACATGTTTCAGAACAATTTAGTTTTAGATTAACATTTGATAAGATAATACTTAGCACTTACACACACGCTTACCATGTGATTAGATGATGTGTTAGACGCTTACAGAATCTACTGTTACACTATCTTGGAAATTTTGTTGGCGAGTGAATGCAATCTACACTTTGCGATGAATCATCTCTAATAATTTTTTTAAAAAAATATTTTTAGTTATACTAATTCCAGTGGTTTAAAACTTGAGAGAGAATCTGTCTGCGATCTGCATTGTTATGCGCTGTCCCACGCCAATGCAATTGTCTGTGTTCTTTCATGTCACGAGATTTAAGACCAAGCACAGACCAATATGTTTTATTTATAAGTTAAAACACTGTTTTGTTTAATACTCACACCCATGCACATTAAATACAGGGTAAGGTAAGGTCCATAAGGAGCAAGATGATTAGACTAAATTATTTACAGGAAATGGAACATTATTTCCACTTGCTACTCGCCAGTCTATTAAACTAGTTTCATTTATATATATATCACAAGAGTACCATACAATCCAACTAATTTTGACTATTAAATTCTGGAGTTAACTAATTTATGGGTAAGCTTAATGGTACTTATTTGGGGAAGAATGAAAAAGCCCATCATGTTTGGGACTGATAACATGTTCTGAGGCCCAAACATTATAATGATGTATGGATCCAGTATAATTCGTGTGCAGATTGTAGGAAATTAATTACACACAAGTTTGGGTTCTTCTTTTGTTTCACCCAAATCCTAATATATTGGTTTCAGGGAAAAAAGACAAGGGCTACTTCTTTAGATATGAAAATTTTAATATTTAAGGAACGCGCATCTTTTTTTAATTTGCAAGAGAGAATAATAAACAAAAAAAAAGCATAAAAAGATGTTCTCATTACCATCAAACACAATTAACAGAAGTTGTTTAATATAATAACATGATCACTCAAGCTGACCATACCACACCCCTTGGATCTTGACATCCTTTGGTACCTTAGCACCCAAGTCAGTATCCGACGGCTGGAGACTCTCGAACACTCCGATCACTTCTCCTGTCTCCGGTTTGCTCTTTGTCACTTTCAGAGTGATCTCTCCCACCGAAGCTGCCGTGTTCTTCACGTTCTCCTTTACAAGCTCCTCTTCGTCTCCTCTGCCTCCAGCTGGCAACGCCACGGCGTTGTCATATCCTGTGGATCCACCACGACCCTTTGGGTCCAAGAAGGAGGAGCCACGGTATGAAGGGACTAAGAATTTTCCTGTAAAGCTGTCTGGTTTGCCGGAGGCGTCAAGCTGTTTGACTGTGAAGAGGAACGGCACACGCTCGCCACCAGGAAGCTGGACTGTGACTGCAGCGTAGTCGATTCCGTCTTCTTCCTTGAAGTTGACGCTTCCATCTGAAGAAACCTGCTCGAAACCAACAAAAAGACTCGATCAATCAAAAACCCTAAACCCTAACGCAAGGCCAATTGTTTCTTGCGGTGGAAGCAAACCAAACCTCGAAGGGGCCTTCGATTTCGTCAAGGGTGTAGGTGAGACGGGTCATCAGCTTGGTGTTCTGGAACTCAGGAGGTGCGTTCTTACTTACACTATCAGCCTTGACGGTGAAGGAAGTAGGCTCGAAGCAGAACTTCTTCCCTGCGTACTTTCCGGGCTTGAACGAGAATGTCTCAGAGCCACCGTCAATGGTTGGGCATTGGTTGGCCGTTCCAGTTCCCTTCACTTCCATATAGGTCTTGCTCTGTATCTCGTCGTAAGTCAGTCTCTTCGGTGCGCCCTCTGCACTTGCTCCCTTTCATTCCACCAGAAAGAAACAACTTATTAAATTCAACAAGTTGATCCAATAAGATTTCCATTTCGAAATATTAAAATCATTCAGTTTATTATAATATAACATCAAATTCAGTGTGTGAAGGCATTCACAAGTTTGGGACTCAGGAGTAACACATTTTTATTGATTGGATCTATCACGGATCAACAAAGTTAAGAATATCGGTTTACGCATTCATTGTATCCAAAACACACACACTGATTTCAATTCGGCTCTGTTTCTTTGTCAATTTATAACGAACTGGTGAGAGAGAAGATAAAAGAAAGTTACCGAGGCGACGAGAGCAGAGGTGGCGAGAGCGAATCCGGCGATTTTGACAGCGTCGGAGCATTTTCCGGCGAAGTCCTTGAAGTCAGATTGGAAGGAGCAAGTGAGACGCGCAGAAGAAGTGTCTACCCCGAAAGATTTGCCGACGGTCTGAGTCGACCGGAGGTGAGAACTGCCGCGAGAAGGAGCGGTGGCGATCTTCGCCGACTGAAGGAATGTGGCGGCGGATTGGAGAGAGGCTGCCATGGCCACAGAGTGTCTCAGATGGTTTAGAGATTTTGTGATCCAAAGCTGAGCAAAGTAAAGACTAAAGAGTAATAATCGAAACAGAGAGATAAGATTGGGATAAGGCGAGGATTTTAATTGGTTTGTTTTGTGGGAATCGGAGTGACTGGTTTCATTTGTTGCCACGTGTCGCAGTATTAAGTGGAGATATGGATACTGTCTCAGTCAGGTATGCTGACATGTGTAGACCAAAAAATTAGTTGAGAAAAATTTGTCAAAATGGCCCATGCAGGTTTCGAACCTGCGACCTTCGCGTTATTAGCACGACGCTCTAACCAACTGAGCTAATGGGCCGATGATGCCAAAATCTTATTGCATAATTATTTGTAATTGTCACAATTTCGTTTTTAGTTGGTTTATAAAAATTCAACATCAAATCTTGAAAAGTATAAAAGGAAAATTTCGTTTTCAAGAATAGAGATAGAAATTATGAGTAATCGCTTTTCCTTTTATACTTTTCAAGATTTGATGTTGAATTTTAGGAGTTGAAACATAGGTGTAATATAGTTTTCACTGCTTTATCTCCCAAACCTATACCAATTCTTTCATATCTTACTAGATTATATTATATATTATTATTTACAACATTGAGTAGGATATGTGATTTCAAAAGCACTACTTTTTCAAAGTAGTGCTCATGTTAGCAGATTCCTTATGTTTCATTGTCATTGTTGGTTATGGGCAATCGGTGACGGAGTGGGCTTAGGTAGGGCCAGACAGGATCCAATTTGGTCTTTCCTAAAACCTACGTTTTCATTTAGAGTATCTGTCGGATACCTTTGGCGAACCACAATTACAAAACACAAGAGGACTAAACCTAAAATTTTGATTTAAAATAAAATTTTGATTTAAAAAAATAGGCACTCAGAATGAGTAGGAGGTTTTGGTTCATCAAGATTAAATCAGATGACATTATGAAATAAACAATCCTCATCATGCCATTTATTATTTTTGTCAAAAATTAGTGAAAAAACTTAAGCTGAATAGAAGAGTAATCCTCTCAGACAAATGCCTCGATTGTCCCCACGATTTAAAGAATGGATTGATCGGACTCGTCATCTATTGGTTGTTCATCACTGAGAAACCCTTCTATTCGTTCATTAAATCGATTTTTATATATAACGAGAAAACTAAATTTATCCTCTCAGACAAATGCCTCGATTGTCCCCATGATTTAAAGAATGGATTGATCGGACTCGTCATCTATTGGTTGTTCATCACTGAGAATGTTATGCCGATCAAAAAAGATTTCTTGCACAGACCAGAAACTAAAAATGAACCGATGGCTAATAAGAAATTTAGAGAGAAAAAAAGATAGAAAGGGGAAGTAAGAGCAATTTTAGGAGAAAAACGATCAAAGTTTGCAGACAGAAAGTTCGTAATCTAGATTGTACATATTCATTAGAGGAGACGGTAGGCGTTAGATTTATAGCAGAACTGAAATAGGGTTAGGGTTTTAGGTTGACTACTCCATAAAGACGACACAAAGTCCGGCTGGCAAAAAAAAAAAAAAAAAAAAGACGACACGAAGTCCTACTATTCTAAACAGCTAGTAGTGCCCCTTTGTTACATAAAAACGGCGCACATTCTATTCGTATATATGTGAAACGGCAGCCAGAAAAAAAATCGAAATATGGACCTCCAAATAGTAACCGACTATCCTAGTCCATAGTTTCGGCCCAGTTCGGCACAAAAGTGAATTTATAATGGACCTTGGGCCTTACGTTGGTTGGGAAATTGGAATACGTTTATTTTTCCAATTACACAACAAAACACAAAAGTCAAAACGTTTCACATATGCGTTGAAGAACATGTCCGCAAGAGTTAACTAAAAATATAAAAAAATCCAAGAATCATACATAATAACATGCTTTCTTGATTCTGTACTAAGGGACGAATCGAACCATTCAAGACCGTCGCGATCTGTGATCAACCATCGTTGCCTCGTGCGAATCGCAGACCTGTGTCTTGAATTTGCATCCGAATTTTTTCGTAATTGACCAACTTCTCGGCCGATCGGTGGTGGTCGTCGCCGCCGGTGAACCTTCTTTATCGATCTTCGCGATCACTTTCTTCATGTTGGAGCACTCTCTCTCTAACCGGTGAACGCGCGTCCTCATCGTATCCATGTCCAAGCGAAGCACCTGATTCTCTCGCACCGTCTTCTTCCATTTCCCAGCGTCCACCTGTCCTTCTCCCCTCGTTTCATCGCCCTCCTCTTCCGTTATCGTTAGATTCCTTCTCGCCGTCGTTGCGGACGGTCTCGGCTCCGTAGACTGAGACGGAGACGGCGATTGAGCCGCTAGTAGCGAACCGGCGATCGCATGCCGGAGCTGTAACTGCTCGAAGAAGAGGACTTGTACGACGGCTCGTAGTGGAAGCCGCTCGTTCTGTGCGGCGTGTGTGCACGCTTCGAGTGTAAGTTTTTGACAATCCATCACGCCGCATATCTTCTCCCTCTCTGCTTCCGATACCCATGGATGCGCCTAACGTCAATAGAAACAGAACAAAACATCAGAATAACTCAGATCCAATTCTCGGATCTGAATTGGGTATTTAGATCACCTTGAGGTATACGTCGACAGCTCTGTAAAGTCCATCGTCGTAGAGCCGAGCCTGATCGGGGAGTGAGATTGCTAGATTGTAGAATTTATCCGATTTGAGATTGGCGTCGGATGCGATCTCCGCGAGAAATCCGTCGATCAGTTTCCCGACTAGCATAAGGGACGGCGATCGTCCGTCAGCTTCGACCAGGGCGGTGTTCGATTGTTCCAATGCGTCGAGAAAGTGGCCAAGGATTCTCTCTACCAAATCAACATCGTATAACGTCTCGTTGAGGTATGAGTAGCTAGGGACGAGCAGGTCGTCGAGCGTGGCTCGCTCTAGCTGGGATCCAATCTTTCTCTCCAATAGATCTCGGCAAGTCTCCGACGCGTTGAGGATGATGGCCGTTCGTAATAGGCCGAAGAGGAATCTCGTGGTTGCGGAGATGGAGCTCTTATCTAATGGCAAATTTGCGGTTATCGTCTCCAGTAATTCTCTCTGTTCATTCTCCGAAGCTGCAGTTGAAGATGACGATGGCGGTTTCCGGTTAGATCGCAAAATTCCGGGAATGTGCTTCTTAGCGTAGCAAATCAAACAGCTCTCTATGACATCTGGGCTCAAATCTCCCGATCTCATTGACAGGATCACAGCTCTGAAGATCGGAAGGCTCAGTTGCGCCAGATCTTCAAACCACAGCTCCATATTCGTATCTCTACTCGGTTTCTTTCTTCGCGCATCCGCTGGCTTCAAAGCACCGCCGGGGATAAGCGGCAAATCAGTGGCGGAGATGCCTACGACTCCACCCCCTCCGTCGTTTACCGGCCAACCGAACAGTGACGGATCGGCTGAGGAGGCTCTCGAGACGATAGAATCTATGCACTGTTCCGTTATTCCAAGCGATTCGGCTAAAGGCGAGACTGACTCGCAAGCTTTGAGAGCCTTGATGGATTCTCGCAAGCTCTTGTAGACGGAATGCGAGAGAAACCTCTCCGTCTTTGAAATTAGGTTATCCGGTGAATACTCTTCCGTCATTTCGAGATGATCGGCCGCGCATCGAAGAGGAACAGCAGTGGAAGCGGAGAGATCGAACTTGACGCCATAGCAGAACTTTGCCACCATCTCGAAGCTCTCAGAACTCCCGGGAAAATTCTCAAGTTTTATGTGAGGATAACCATTTTCTTCAGTCTCCTCCTGCTTGTCTTCTTCTTCATCGTCCTCTATCTCATGCCCTTTCCCCTTCCCATCACTCTCTTCTTCTACGGTTAGCGCCATGGAGGTTTGGGGGTTTAGAGTAGAAAACGATCTCGTCTCCTGCTCTGTAGTAATCAACCTGTGAAGTTTCCTGCTCTTTGACATCAGAGGAAACTGGAGAAACAGATATATGTGAGGAATAAAAAATAAAAAATAAAAACTCAGAAGATCAAAGACAAAATCTCAGGCGTTGATGAACACCTTGTGGAGATGAAATGTCATATCATCAACTTCGATTTCAATGTCGCTAGGTAATCCAGTCGTGCAAAACCTGCATAAAAAAGACAAAAATGGAAACAAGAAATTTCTCAGGCATTTTAAACAAACATTCTTTAGTATCATAATTAAAGTCAGTGTTAGGTCTCTTCACCATGCTTGGCCCTTGGACCTAGGCTTCTCTGACGCCATTGTAGACAACACTGAAGAGAGCTCTGGAAATAATCACTCACAGAAGAAACCAAAAATTATCTCTTTCTAAAGAGAATATGGAGAGAGGAAAGGGAAGGAATTGGAATCCTAAATCATGAGAAAGAGACAGGTTAAAAATAATTATTCGGATTTCGAAAAAGGGGATCTCGTTTTTGATCCATCTTTTATTTTTCCCTTTAATTCTTACTATAGTATAAACTAAACTTTTGGTTGGAGAACAGCACGAATCTCAACTACTCTCTCAACACGACACATTTTCAGAGAAATTTCGCTTTGGGACAAGCAAAATCCCACTCATTTGTTAATCATTTAAACTATTTATTTGTAAACACTCCCATTTTTGCTTTCCAGATTAATTTTCCTCCTCTTACAAATGCATTATTCCATTGATATAGTAAATGATTATACTCGTATCTAATTGTTCCTTATATTAGAAATAAAAGAATGAAAAAATTATCCTAACTCAGCAAAGAGCCAAGGACGAAAGTGGTTTTATTTAAACAAATTAAGTGGCAGACATATATTTGGACTATTTTTTTATTATTAATATGATAATAATGTCTCACCTAATTCTGAAAATTGAGAAATTTGACGTTTAGGAAGCCCATGTGGAAATACAAGGGAGACATTAACTGTTTTACAAAAAAAAATAGCGGTATATTTTTAAATTGAAGAAATTATATGAAATTTATTGCAATATTGACAGATGTAAAGGGAGAAGGAAGAGAAAAAGAAAAAGTATGTGCAACTTTCAATGCATTGTTCATCCACAGTTTTAAACCAGCCAAAACAAAATAATAAATCGATCCTTTGAATTTTTGAATGTGGAAGCAAACAATACGGTGCTCGTGTTTATTATGTTTGTTTTGTAGACCCCTTATTTGAATTTATTGATACAAAATATCTCTTTTTCATATTGTTAATGCTTTATACATAGTTAGACATGTTCATTTATTTATTAACTTATAGTACAGGTTTTTACTTAGGTTTATGATTTATTTTGTTGGTCGTTTACTCAAAATGTATAACTTATACAGTATATTTTAGGTAACTTCGTGGTATAATTCTATCCATTTTTTTATACTCTTTGTAAAACAAATACAAATAAAGACATAGACTAGTTTTTTTTAAGTGAAAAAATAAAATGGTTTTAGTGCATCTTTACTAATTTCATGGTCTTTTCCAGTTTCCAGCATGAATGCAGACTTCAACGAGTAATAGAACACGGCGAAGAAACAATCAAAGTAAGAGTAGACTTTGCCCAAAGTCACTCATTGCTTTATCTTTTTCCTTGTGATCTCACGTGGTAGGATAAATAATCATTTGAATCTGATGGATGCATGTTTAACGAAGAGGAAATGATGGTTAAACTCTTCACATCGTCTCGTCCATCCACACTTTCACACCATTAAACATAAGTTCACATCTACGTTGATCTTCTCGACTGTTTTGCCTATGTACTCATCTCATCGCTAACAGGATATGAATTATACAAATATCAGTTTTTCTTCTGTGAGACAATATTAAATTGGTACATTAGCTCACTTAAACAAAGCCCATTTGCTGTTTAATAGACGGTCAACGAAATCTTTGACTACATCCTACAAAATTGACAGTGACAAAACAAAACACAAAAACCTCCGAAACAGGCACAGATTAATGTCAGAATCTAAAAATCTATGGGCACAAGAGTTTCCCTTCTTCAGAGGCTGCTTTCTTGCAATGTCATTTGGACTGTACGTAGGCTCCACGTAGCCTTAAATGCTTATAATTTCCTCCATCGATCCATAAATTTAACGAACACTTAAAAACAAAATTCGACAAACATTTTTGGAAATTTTAATACGGAAACTAGTCCATACCATTTTGATTTTGGCTATTTCGTGGCAAAACGGTAAACTACAACGCCGAATCTAGAACCTTCTTGAGGAACATTAGAGTGTATTCACGTCAACAACGAAGAGCTTTATAAAATGCAGCGTCGTGTTACACCACGTCAGACGCTAGAATTAGGTCAACGTTCCGGCCTAGAAGCAAATCCACGTTCTATTAATGCCAATAATATTTCAGTATACCTAACAGTTCTTGCACCAGTTGTTTCTGAGCTTTTTTACTTTCACCCCAATCATTTATTCTCTTTGTTTCTTTCTAAATTTCTTGCTTTCACCCCAATATTTTGATTATTTACAAATTAGTCATAATATTTGTACGACTTACAAAGTAGCGTCAATATGTTTAAAAGTTTACAGAATAGGCCCCATATTAATTTATTATTTACAATATACGCCTCCTTTTTAATACGTATTTTCTTTAGCCCCGGTAGTTTTGATAATTTTCGGTATAGTCCAAATATTTGTACGATTTTACAAAATAGTCTGAATATATTGAGAGTTCACAAAATAGGCCCTGTTGGTTTCTGACTTGCAAACTAAACTCTTTTTTTTTTTTTTTTTTTGAACAACAACTAAGCTCTTTCTGATATATGTATTCACGTGTGACATCTGGTGTTTGCCTTATTGGATAATCCAGGCTATACAAAAATTTGAAAGGTCAGAATTACTAAACTAATAACCTTATCTTTTAATTCCAAAACGGACTATACAATATCTCTCCACATTTAAAATAATACTTTTTAAGTTGATCTCTTAGTAACAAAGTAAACAAATAAAGAGCAAATGGAATGACAAGGCATGAAAAAGAGGAGAACATGGAATGGAGATAATTGGTTAACACAACGTTGAACTATATCATATATGTAGAAACAACAATTACCAGCGTTGGCAATATGAAAGTATAGTTTTTGTTTTATAAACCGAATATGAAAGTATAGTTTAGAATTACGAGGGTTGAATAAATATAATCTGGAGATGGTCAAAAGTTCATTCTTCACTCTTTTTTTATTTATATTTTTCGCTATTTTTCCTTCTTCACTCGTCCGCTTAGAGCACAACACGAAGATGGCGTCGAAGGCGATGGAGAGAGGATTCAAGGTTTGTCTCTCTGCTTTTTGCGTATAAGATTCTTTGATTGACGAATGGAAAATTTGCTGATGAGATGCAAATATATTCTGAACATGGAAGCTGATACTTGGTTCTCAATCCATGGCGAGAAAGCGGATTCTGGCTGAAATGGGATATGATTTCACTATCGTGGTAGGCTCTGCTTCTCTTTTGGTTTCAACTTTTTGATTGAACTCTCTCGATTTATTCAGTGTTGAACTCTTTGGTAATTAAACTGCTGTAATCTCTCAATTAACGTATTGGAATGGATTATGGCTGAAGACAGCAGACATTGATGAGAAAGCTATCAGGAGAGAGAAGCCTGAAGATTTGGTTGTGGCTATCGCTGAAGCCAAGGTAATCTTATCTAGTCTAATCTAAGGGTTTTGATTTCTCTGCAGTATTTGCCTCATTGTCTGTCTCCAGAATCGTACTTACTGGTTTTGAAAATGAATCTTTGAGTGTACTAGGCAGATGAGATAATATCGAAATTGGGAGGTCGAAGCCAGTTTGCGCAGGATCCTCAACCAACCATATTGATTACTGCAGACACCGTATGCTTTCGTAATGATTTTCATTGTTGGGTTTGAATTTGTTCTGTGATTCTTCTTTAGCTGATGTTATATGGTGATGGGGGAGTTTCTTAGGTTGTTGTGTACAAAGGTGTCATCAGAGAAAAACCAACCAGCAAAGAAGAAGCTCGGGAATTTATCAAAGGTTTATTACTTTTAACATGTGCTCTGATAGCCATTATCACGAAAGGCAAATGAAAAGTCTGTGTGTTTAAGCATTTTGTTTGAGATGTACACAGGCTATTCAGGGTCACACGGAGGCGTTGTGGGATCTGTTATTGTAAGCAACTTGAAAACTGGAGTTAGAAAAGGAGGATGGGACAAGGCAGAGGTACACTTAACATAACACACGGGTTTCTTTTTAGTGGATTGTATTTATCTCTTGATAATCATCAATTATATGAGCCGCTAAACAAAAACTGCTGTTTTGACGCAGGTTTATTTCCATGAGATACCAGAAAAAGTCATCGACGACCTTGTAAAACTTCTAAACACACTTGTTCTTCCTACTCTCAATCTCACAATCTTGGTTTGTTTGGCAGATTAACATATAAGTCTTTGCTTCTTTCAATCTTCAGATTGATGATGCAATAACATTCAAAGTTGCTGGAGGTCTAACGCTGGAGCATCCCCTCATTTCACCCTTTATCGATACTGTGGTTAGTGCTCTCTCTCGGCATAAGAAGCTTTGCAGCCGTTTGATTTTCAGCTTAGATAGAAGTTCAAAGACTATCATATATTATAAAAGCGTTTACGTTGTAATCTTGTAGGTGGGAGGAGTTGATACAGTCATGGGACTTCCTAAAGAACTCACTGAAAAATTCATCAGCGATGTGTTGTAGCCTAACCCTTATTGAATGATTCTGTAGGAAGGCTTATATTCATTACTCTGAGATTTGAAGTTTTTTTTTGTTTTTCGCTAATCAAACCATTTATGTTTTTACGTGTGTAAAACGTAGATCTACCGTATCATAATTCGAAGTATTGATTGTTTTTCCGGATTTCAAACTATCATTTACCCGAAAATAAATCATTTAAAATGTAGCAGTTTTGCAGTTTGAACAGGTTTTGATAATATATGTGTGTATATTCAACTTAAATAACACACATATATATATATATATATATATATGATCAGTCTATTAATAGAAGTAGTCTCTACGAAGTGGTCAAAGCGATTGCACCAACGAACTATAGATTATCTCCATTTAATCATTATATGATTTGGTCGTCCTATCGTGTGGGGGCTTATATTCTGATCAGACCAATGTGGATTTATAACGTCTGAAATGTGAATGAACACAATGTTATACCGTAGTGATATGATGGACTTATTTTTGTTGCTTTATGCTTAGCCCTCTAGTAACTTGGCCGTTGTTTTGTTATTTCTTCATCTCGGCTTTTGTTCGTGTCAAATTGCGCTCCAGAGAATAATATTTTTGCAATTATAATTTCTACTAAACCATTTTGTACAAATCCCCCAAGGTTCTAGTCTACTCATAGCATTTTAACATTGGGAATTTTTGTTTTTTATTTGTTGTTGACAAATTACAGAATTGAAAAAAAGAAGAAATGTAAACACTTTATAATTGGCATAATGCTTTGTGGGGAAAAAATTCACAATGCTTAAAGGCCCAAATATTGGCCCAATAAATAAGCCTAACTCTCTGGCTGAGTGAGAGGTTTATCGTGGACATTTAATCTGGCATGCCCAGGGTTTTTGAGTGAGATACCATTGAGGTTTCTCTACTTTCGCGGTCGCCGTTTTCCTCTACCAAAACCTAACCGCCGTTTAAACAACCTTCACCACCTCCATCGATAAATCCTTGATAATCGGCCTTGCTTGGGAAAGCAACGAAGCTATACGTTTGGCCGATTAATCTATGGCCACTGCAAGGGATTCGGGCTTGGAAGCCCTTGAGAAGCTTAAATCAACTGAGCCTCCAGTTTTTCTTGCGCCAAGTTCGATATCTGAGGATGCTCGTGTCGCCTCTCAGTATCTCTTCACGAAGTTGAAGCCGTACAACCCTAAGTCTCCGTTTGATAAGCTCTTGGTTGATGGGTTTGATGCGGAGCAAATTTGGCAGCAAATTGATATGCAGTCTCAACCTCTCTTGTCAAACTTGCGGCAGGAAGTGAAGCGATTTGCTAAAAACCCCGAAGAGATTCGTAAACTTGGGAATTTGACCCTCGAGGTTTCTCATGAGGATGATGCCGATGATATGGATACGAATGGATTTGAGTCGGATGACAATGATGATGATGATGATGATGATGGTAAAGAGCTAGAAGCTGACGAAAGCGATGGAGAAGAGACAGAGGAAGTGGAGGGTGGAGAAGAGACAGATGAAGAGGAGGGTAGAGAAGAGGCAGAGGAAGAGGAAAATGATGAAAAGAATGAGGGAATAGAGGACAAATTCTTCAAGTTAAACGATTTGGAGGAGTTTTTAGAGGACTGTGAAGCAAAAGAGTACGAGGAAGACCCCAAAAACAAGAAAGGTGTGTCGAAGGGAAAGAAACAACATTGGAGCGAAGAAGATACCGATGATGATGATGTTGATGATGATGAGGATGAAGATGACGAGGTAAACAGTTTTCAGGAATATGAAGTGGAGTGAGTGTTTACAGATATCTAAGTTTTTCTATCGATTGATCTTTGATTGTTCTTGTCCTCTAGCTTGGTGCTCTTTTGGGTGATGGCAACGAAGATGCAGAAAAATTGAGAATGCCGAGGTATGCTTTCTATTATTCAGTGAATGAGCAATTTGGAGTAGAATAGGCGAGCTTTAGTACTTGTTTCTCATGGGTAGCGAGTTTTCTAAGATTTGTTTTCCTTATCAATGATGATCAGGTATAAAGATTTCTTTGGCGGTAAAAAGGAGACAAAAATGACGTTTAACGATGGAATTGAAGATGAGGAAGCTGGAAATGAAAACCAAGTACTATTTCGGCTTTGCTTATTCTCAACTTCATTTCTCATTTGTGGAACTGTACATGAGATCTAACTAATTCCTCTTCCTCTAGGGCAATGGAAGACTCTCTACCCATGAGAAAGACCTAGTAAAGCTTCAATCCAAGATTAAACAGATGGAGAAAGCAAACTTAGATCCAAAACACTGGACAATGCAGGGAGAGGTACCCAGACATGTTCAGTTAAACTGTTTAAAAAGTAATGTTGCTTAAGCTTTATGTAGCTAATTTTTTATGTATGGTTTTTTCCTGTTAAAAGATAAGTGCTGCAAAGAGGCCCAAGAATAGTGCTCTAGAAGTTGATTTAGATTTTGAGCACAATGCCAGACCTGCTCCTGTAATCACAGAAGAGGTCACAGCCTCACTTGAGGAAATGATCAAGAGCAGAATCATTGAGGTGACTATTGCTGGCTCTAGTTTATAACAAGGTTATTCTTTTTTTTTCTTCCCCTTGATTTTGCATAACTGATCTTGTGACTTCTTAGGCTCGTTTTGATGATGTTCAACGAGCACCTAGTCTACCCACTAATTCAAAAAGAGAAGCCAAGGAATTGGTGAGTTTTATTGAAGAACTATTACCATTATCCTCTTGTTTTGCTCTGGTTTAACAGTTGTTGAATAACAGTATAATTGGCTTGTGGAAATGTGCAGGACGATAGTAAAAGCAAGAAAGGTCTTGCCGAACTTTACGAGGTTTGTATAATGTACAATATTTGATTGTGTTTTGCGTTTTTGAGAGAGAACCAAACTTACAAATGTGTTTGTGCTATATGCAGGAAGAATACGTTCAGAAGTCAAACCCAGCTTTTGCTCCAGCAACTTTCTCTGACGAACTTAAGAAGGAGGTTCTAACTTTGATTTGATCCTTTATTTATTTTTTCTGGGATTTTTGTCTACCTATCGTTCGTCTCTCTCACATACTCTTTCTTATGAATGTTGAATCAGGCAAGCATGCTATTCAAGAAACTATGCCTGAAGTTGGATGCTCTCTCTCACTTCCACTTCACACCGAAGCCAGTATGTTTCTTGTTCGGATCCTAAATGACTATGACCTCAAGCTTTTTAGACATAGTTGAAACTGTTTTTTTTTTGGGCCAAAACTTTCAGGTAATACAAGAAATGTCTATACAGACAAACGTCCCAGCCATAGCAATGGAAGAGGTAAGTCTGTTGTGTTTTTTGTTTTGTTTTGTTTGGGATGAGAGCGGAATTGTAGTAAGCAAGTTGTTGTGTGTAGGTTGCGCCTGTGGCAGTCTCAGATGCAGCAATGCTTGCTCCAGAGGAAATCTTTGCCGGGAAAGGCAATATTAAGGATGAGTCTGAGCTTACGCAGGATGAGAGAAAGAGAAGGAGGGCTAAGAAGAAGAGGAAGTTTAAAGGTAAAAAAGGAAGTGAATAGCAAAAGTCAGAATCTCTAACTGCATTCTCAAAGTTATTTCTTTCTAATATCGCTTTTACTGAAACAGCTGAAGCTGCAGGCCAACCTGTGAAGAAGGCACCAAAACGAAAACCGGTGGATGAGAAAGAGCCAAAAGGATCAGTTGTTGAGCGTTGCCTACTCATTCAGTGAAAGAGTAGAGAGCGAGTCGCATACTACTTCAAAATCGGATAAACAACAGTTTTGGATGTTTAGAAATATTTTAAAACCTTTTGTTCGTAACGGTGATTACACATTCAGCCGCCCATGAAACTTGTCCTTCGCAAATTTGAGTTCCTCTTAACCTTTTGTCTTTTCAACGGAAACAAAGTTTTGGCCATTGTACCAAACTACAGAGAGCAAAGGTAAATAGGAAGAAAAAGATAGAAAAGCTAAACCCTTGAAACCATATAAAAAACAAAAATAATTTGAAGATGTTTAACAATGATAGTATCCTTTTATAGGTAGTAATCAATCCGTATATAATCCTAATGGTGGTGGTATGAAATCGCTAGTTGGTTGCATAAAAGACTTTGTCCCATCCGCTGTAAGAATCCCAGAACGTATTACGGAAATCAAAATCAATCGTCATGCCTACGTGACAGCCGGTGCAGTTGCTCAGCGCCAAAATCAACTTGTCTTGTGATTTCTCAATAAGCGTGACGCTGCACGAGTTACCGGTTCTCACGTCCACTGCCTCGATTTTGCAAACTGAGTCACGGCTTAGTTGCTTCGAGGTTTCTTGCGACATCTTTTGCTTCACCTCCTCGGCTTGTTCTTCCGTTAGCTCGAATCCACTTACCATTGTTGTTATCTGTTCTATCGTCTCTCTGTAACGAAGCCATTCCGTTCCACTTGTCTTCGCTGTTTCCTTTTGCAATATAGGAGCCAGTCTCTTCGCAGCTTCGCTTTTCGATGTAGACCACATTGTTCTCTTCCTCTTCTCCTTGTTTGAACTGTAGAGATATATCTTCGTCTACATGTATTATATACAGGGAACCTGAATTGGGAATTTAGTTGAAAACTCTAATTTAACTCTTTTTTTCCATTTTTCATGACTTACCGAAATCAGTTTTCTATTTTTACATAACTGGGAGAGTCCTGAGCGCAAGGTATTCTAGCAATTTTTTCATAACATTACCTTTTTCAGAAATTTTTTTTTTTTTTGAAATGTTAGTTTTCTTGATTCTTCCTTCAAGATTAGCTGGTCTGATCCGAGCGGCAATAATCATCAGTTAAGAACAATACATTATAGATAAATATCATTAAGGAATTATAAAAGCAAGGCAGCTGGAGTAGCTCAGTTGGTTAGAGCGTGTGGCTGTTAACCACAATGTCGGAGGTTCGACCCCTCCCTCTAGCGTTTTTTGTTTGTTCGTTCGTTCCAGCAAATGTCGGATATTCGTAAACGCATAAACGATTATTCTGAAGTGGTCAACGTACAGCTTGGGTCCCAATCGTAATTTGAAGAGCCAGTTCCTCGTATCTTCATCGTTTGTCTCTTCCGGATTTTTTTTTTTTTTTTTTTACCTTTGGTTTTGGGTTGTGGTAACATTCATTCAATCTACCCAATTTAGATAGAGAGAGTAGTGTGAGTGAGAGGAGAGAAACATGGCGATGGTTTCCGTCTCTAACTCATTCCTCACCTTCAATTCTCCGAACCAACTCCGATTTAGCCGGTAATTTCCTCCGTAACAGAAACTGCATTGCTTTCAGTGTGTCTGGGCACTTCTTCAAATCTGTCCATCTTACATTAGTTTTATCCATCCATTCTCGTCGATCCTCAAAAGTCCCGATCTTGGTTTTTCGCAGAAGAAGATTCTCTGCCATGGCTTCTTCAACTACTGGAGTGAGAGTCGCTGAAGGAGAAGGCAATTTGCCAAAACTCGTCCTCACCTCTCCTCAGAACAGGTTTGATACTGCTCTTGACGATCTAGAGCCCAGTTCCATTTGTGGCATGAGAGTTTTGAGATTGAGAAATATATCGTTTTCTTTTCCCGATTGGATGCAGCGAAGCTGAGATATATCTATTTGGAGGCTGCATTACATCTTGGAAGGTTGCTGGTGGGAAAGATCTTCTTTTCGTCAGACCAGATGCTGTCTTCAATAAGATAAAGCCCATAAGGTCTCAACTTGTTACTCTTGTCACCAATTTCTTTAACCAGAATAAAATGTGTCTTTTCCTCTCTTTTTTGACAATGCTTGCTTTCTTGTTGGATTAGCGGAGGGATTCCACATTGCTTCCCACAGTTTGGACCTGGAGAAATTCAGCAGGTAGTGTTTCCTCGACTGATCAAAATCTGTCTTTTTAGTTATTTTTATGCCTACATGCTTTTGAACCATTTTGGAATCATTCGTTAGCATGGGTTTGGAAGGAACATGGACTGGTCTGTTGTCGATTCCGAGAATGCAGAGGACAATGCTGCTGTAACTCTTGAGCTCAAGGACGGTCCCTATAGTCGAGCCATGTGGGACTTTGGTTTCCAGGCTCTGTACAAGGTTGGTGTGATGATGCTTTTAAATGCGTCCTTTGATCAATGGCGCTCGTGTATCTTCAACATATTGTTTTGTTTTGTTACTTTAGGTCGTTGTTGGTGCGGACTGTCTCTCCACCGAGTTAAAAATAACAAACACAGACAGTAAAGCATTCTCATTCAGCACCGCGTTGCATACTTACTTCCGTGTAAGTATTCTCCAAGGTTACGTTTTTTAAATTCTCTAGTTTAGGATCAGTCAGCCTCGGAATTGAAGTGATTATTGATTTGATACTACTCTATGTAGCCAACTTTTTACATTTCGTTCATCAGGCTTCTGTCACGGGGGCATCTGTGAGAGGTCTAAAGGGTTGTAAAACTCTCAACAAGGATCCTGATCCTAAAAACCCTATTGAGGGCAAAGAAGACAGGTTGGTATACTTATCGAGAAGCATATTGGAGTAACTACAAATCTTGTTGATTTTGATTTGTTCACAATTTTCATGCTTCTAAAAAACCCAGGGATGCAGTCACTTTCCCTGGATTTGTGGATTGCGTCTACCTTGATGCCCCTAATGAATTGCACTTCGATAATGGCTTGGGTGATAAAATAATCATCAAAAACACAAAGTAGGTGGCTTTATACTGATAACTCCCGTTTGAGAGGAGATACTTTTGGGTGTCTCATGAGTAATGGTTGTATTTGATAAAATGCAGTTGGTCTGACGCGGTCTTGTGGAACCCGCATGTTCAGATGGAAGCCTGCTACAGAGACTTTGTGTGCGTCGAAAATGCAAAGGTATAATCAGTTTGCACCTATGTCTTTACAGATATTGTACGACTCTTAACAACTTTCTAACTCTTTGCTTGTCATTTTTAACTCTCACAGCTTGGGGATGTCAAGCTAGAGCCGGGACAGTCTTGGACAGCAACACAGCTTCTCAGCATCAGTTAAACAACTTTGTACTTTTTATTTATCAACTTCTGTTATATTCTCGGTTGTATCCATTTTCTCAAGCAATAAAAGTTTGATATCCTCTCCAAAATTTCACCAGTAGTCCCCACAACTGCATTTGCCATCTCTGAAGTGATGGAACCTTGTCCTGTCTCTCATCACGATGTCTCTCTTGTATACCTTAGAGATGAGTTTCGTTACTCTGTGACAGTCTTTGCATACTCGGAGATTCTTCATTATACGTATTGTTGTTCCCGGTTTAGTCTTCATTAGCCCATATGTAATAGCCAGTTTCTCGCTGTGCTGATGCACAATTGCCTCTCTTTCCTCCTCGTCAACTAGATCAAGCAGCATATCTTCCAACTCTGGTACGTACCCGTTTTCCTCAAGCTTCCTTCTTACGATTCTCCATTTACATCGAATCTTCTCAATCTCCGCGTGTGCTCTGTCTCCTGCTAGAAACTCGTGTGTTGTCCCTTCCAAGCTAATCGTACTACATCCTGGAACTTTCACAACTCCTTGTTTTTTCATCAGTCTTCTGGTTTCAGCTGCCTTGTCCCACTTTTTGCCCATAGCGTGAATATTTGCCTTATGAACGTATCTCCCACCATGATTTGGATCTATCTCGATCAAGATTTCTCCGATTTCCTCTCCCAGTTCGATGTTTTTGTGAATCTGACAGGCTTTGAGCAGAGAACCCCATATCACAGCGTTTGGCTTCAGAGGCATTTTCTGAATGAAACGGTTTGCTTCATCAAGGAATCCAGCTCGGCCGAGTAAATCAACCATGCAGCCATAATGCTCGATCGTGGGTCTCAGGTCGAAATCTCTCTCCATGCTGTAGAATACTGACTTTCCTTCTTCAACCAGTCCTGTGTAGCTGCAAGCAGTGAGTACCGCAGTGAAAGTGATGGCATTGGGCTTTACTCCCATCTTTTGCATCTCCATGAATGTGCTAATTGCTTCTCTCCCATGGCCATGGTACGCATAACCGGAAATCAAAGCTGTCCATACTTGCACTGGTTTTCTCTCCATCTTCTTGAAAACCGCCAAAGCTTCTTCCATTTCGCCGCACTTTGCATACATATCTATAAGAAGACAAGCCAAAACAGAATCGATCCCAATTCGTGCTTTGTTGGCATAGGAATGAATCCATTTCCCTTGCTCGAGTGCCCCGAGCTGAGCACAAGCTGAGAGAGCATTGGCTAGAGAGACATTATCAGGCTCCACATCTGAGTTCTGCATTTCATGAAATAGCTGCAGAGCTTCCTTGTTCATGCCTGCTTGAACATACCCGGAGATCATCGTAGTCCACGAGATCGCGTTCTTCTTTTCCGGCATTTTCCTGAATAACGCTGACGCCATATCCATTTCTCCATCTTTTGCGTAACCTTTGATCACAGAGTTCCACGAGACAGCATCGGGTTCGGGGATTCTGTCAAAGAGAAGGTGAGCTAGCCTGGAGTTCCCGGTCACAGCGTAGGAGTTAATCAGAGAGTTGGCCGCGTATACATCATTCACATATCCAAATTTCGTGACCTGTGCGTGAATTTGCGTTGTTTCTTGAAAAGCGGATAGATTCGAACAGGCTTTGAGAAGGAACGGAAATGTGTAGGCGTTGTGAGGAGCGGAAGAGCAGAGCATCCGGTGATACAGGAGAAGAGACATCTCGGGCTCGTGTGAGCAGGAGAATCCTTTGATCATTAGGTTCCACAAGAAAGTATCTGGTCGGTGAAAACCTTGAAAAACATTCAGGGCGTAAGAAGAAAAGGAACTGGAAGAAGTGGAGGAAAGGCAGAAAGAAAGGAACTTTGTCATTGCGTAAGGATCCTGCATCAAGCCGGATTTGAGCATCCGAGCGTGGATTTGCTTCAGTTCTATTTCCTTGGAACATTTCTGGAGACAAGAGAGATCGTGTTCCAATGCGAAAGATGAGAGAGATCGTGTTCCACTTACCGCCATTCTGAGTATAATTCAAATACAGAATAAAGATGGCATTGAAGATAAGCTTCTTCTTCTTCTTAGCTCGACGAGTCCATGAAAATGGAATTACTGTATTTAAGTCTTCAAAGGATAATGTGGCGTTGATGAACGGTCCTGATTTGTTGTTCTGAATAGCGACGGTTTCACATTAATTGTTCCAAAATTAAAAAAATTTGTCCGAATGTCGGATACTTATTTTTGGGAAGTAGTTTGCGTTGAGATTAACAATCCGAATGTCTCTGAACTCCTTTCCTCAGCTGCCTTAGAGCACCTGATCACTTCGTCTAAATACAAAATGTTTTTTTTTACCACAATTAAAATTGAAATCACCACGAACCGGCTTTTAACCGGAATTTAAGAAGACAAAACCAACGATGCGGGTGAGTCTAGTCTCCCTCTTCCTCTAGTTCCGGTGAAAGAACCCCTTTTCGGATTTCATTTCATTGATAAACACAAATCATCGTTCGCTCGTCAGGAGAAGTAAAGAAGACGATGGCAAGTATGGGGAGAGCATTCTACAGCGTTGGATTCTGGATCCGGGAAACCGGTCAAGCACTTGATCGGCTCGGTTGTCGCCTCCAAGGGAAAAATCACTTCCGAGAACAGTGTATGCCTTTCGATCTTTCTTAGTTCCTTTCTCATCCTAGTTTGATTTCTCGTCGTGTCTTCGGAAGGTTTTGGGTATTTTAATGGAATCGGGTCATTGTTTAGATTGGCCAAAAATGATGCGTTTTTTCTCTTCACGATCCCATTTTTTCACTGATATTCATGATTGAGTATGGCATTATTGATTAGAGACCTAAGAGCTTATGATCAAATGTAGGATTTTTCGGTTCTTAACTTCGGGTTTCTATCTCCCCCCATACATGGTGCTGTTTTTCCAATTTGTCCAGAAAATCAAATCAATTTTCTATGTTTAAATGATTGCATAAAGCGATTCTCTTTAATCGTTTGTTAGCTTTTATCCTCCCTCTCTCACAAGTTTCTTCTATGTTCTCTGTATTTGGCTACTTACTGTTATCTTAGCTTCAAGTCTTTTTCACTTAGCCAGTTCTATTGTGAGTGATTCACATGTCAACCCTTTCCACTGAAACTCTTGTTTGCAGTATCGAGGCATCGCACGCTAATGCATGTTTTTGACAAAGCCCCTAATGTGGACAAGGAGGCTTTTGTGGCTCCCAGCGCTTCTATCACTGGCGATGTCCATGTGGGTCGAGGCTCTTCCATTTGGTATGGATGTGTCTTGAGAGGTAATCCAGAGTACTTGGCCATGTCAAATGTGCTTTCTTTGATTCATATATTTGGGCCTAGTTTTGAACAACTTACTTTGGATCCCTGCAGGAGATGCTAACAGCATCAATGTGGGAGCTGGGACCAATATCCAGGACAACTCTCTTCTCCACGTTGCTAAGTCCAACTTGAGCGGGAAGGTCTTACCTACTGTCATTGGAGACAATGTCACTATTGGTAAACATCTCAATACAGTTTTCTGTCGCGAACTGAAGATTGGATTTTATAGTTAGGGTGATGGACTTGAATTTGGAACAGGTCATAGTGCTGTTTTACATGGCTGCACTGTCGAGGACGAGGCCTATATTGGTACAAGTGCAACCGTGTTGGATGGAGCTCATGTTGAAAAGCAAGCCATGGTTGCTTCAGGAGCTCTTGTCAGGCAGAACACTCGAATTCCCTCTGGCGAGGTTTCTCTAGATACACTCTTATGCTGTTGACCTTCTCAACTTTGTTGTTTGCTTAAGCTACGATGATGTGTAAACGTCGAATCTTTTAATACAGGTTTGGGGAGGGAATCCAGCTAGATTTCTGAGGAAGGTGACGGAAGAAGAAAGGGCCTTCTTCTCCAGCTCGGCTGTGGATTACTCCAAATTAGCTCAAGCTCACGCCGCAGAAAACACAAAGAACTTGGACGAGACTGATTTCAAGAAGCTTGTTTACAAGAAGAACGCTCGCGATGCAGAATATGATACACTACTCAGTGATCTCTCTCTCTCTGAGAATGTTCCAAAAGCAGCTTGAGACGCTTAACTTGTGCCGCCTTGAGAATCTTGATTTGTATTGGATTTGAAAAAGAAAAAAAACAAGAATTTCATTTCCTGCTTCTCCAATAAAGTTTTCTTGAGCTAAAGGTCTATTGATTGACCAGCGCTTACTGGGAAAGTTTTCAGCTTTAAGGCATTCATTTCTCTGTAAAAGATTCTGAGGGGTTTTTTGTTCTCTTTGTAACTCGAAGAAAAAGTTGTAACCTTTTCTTCTTATTGTTGTGTCTAATAAATTGTTGTATCAGAACTCACGTATTTAGGTTGTCCTTTTCGCTTTTTCCTTCACATTATCATATACAGCTTGCTATTAGGGCTCTGTTTCTGTTGGTTTCGTTTGTAGTGACAAGTAAGGCAACGAGTATCGTCGTCTTCCGCTCACATGTTCGCATGTTTGCCCCGTTTAAGTGATGTTACCGGAAAATCTACAAATTTGCTATATAGGTTTGTGTTTGCTCGAAATTTTGCTGCTCATACCGACCACCTGTTCGACGAATTGCCGCAACGAGACCTCTCGGCGCTTAACTCTCAGCTCTCGTCTTACCTCCGCAGTGGAAACCCAAATGGCACATTGGCTCTATTTCTTAAGATGCATCGAGCCAGCTCTGATCTCAGCTCGCACACCTTCACTCCGGTTCTCGGTGCGTGTGCCCGCTTGTCGTATCCAGAAACGGGACGCCAAGTTCACGCCTTGATGATTAAACAAGGCGCTGAGACAGGAACCATATCCAAAACCGCGCTTATTGACATGTACTCAAAGTACGGACTCTTGGTTGATTCCGTTAAGGTGTTCGAGAGCGTTGAGGATAAAGATGTCGTATCATGGAATGCTCTGCTTTCGGGTTTCCTTAGAAACGGTAAGGGTAAAGAAGCTCTTGGCGTTTTCGCAGCTATGTATAGAGAAGAAGTAGAAATCAGTGAGTTCACTTTGTGCTCTGTTGTTAAAACATGCGCCTCTCTCAAGATTTTGCAGCAAGGGAAGCAAGTTCATGCCATGGTGGTGGTCACGGGACGCGATCTCGTGGTTTTAGGAACTGCAATGATTAGTTTTTACTCTAGTGTAGGGTTGATGAGTGAAGCCATGAAGGTTTATATCAGTTTGAATGTTCATACGGACGAGGTGATGTTGAATTCTCTGATATCGGGTTGCATTCGAAACCGGAATTACAAGGAAGCGTTTCTGCTTATGAGTAGGCAGAGACCCAACGCGAGAGTGCTCATTAGCTCCCTTGCTGGTTGCTCGGATAACTCTGATCTGTGGATTGGTAAACAGATACACTGTGTCGCCTTGCGTAATGGTTTCGTTTCAGATTCTAAGTTGTGCAATGGCTTAATGGATATGTACGGCAAATGCGGTCAGATTGTACAAGCATGTACTATGTTCAGCGCGATGCCTTCGAAAAGTGTGGTCTCTTGGACGAGTATGATAGACGCGTATGCAGTGAATGGGGATGGCGTTAAAGCTCTTGAAATCTTCAGGGAAATGTGTGAAGAAGGAAGCAGAGTTTTGCCCAATTCGGTGACATTTCTCGTTGTTCTATCGGCTTGTGCACACGCAGGACTAGTTGAAGAAGGTAAGGAATGTTTTGGTATGATGATGGAGAGGTATCGGCTGGTTCCTGGAACAGAGCATCACGTATGCTTCATCGATATCTTAAGCAAGGCTGGTGATACAGAGGAGATATGGAGATTAGTTGAGAGAATAATGATAGAGAACAATAACCGAAACCTTCCTTGTGCTATATGGGTCGCAGTACTTAGTGCGTGTAGTCTTAATATGGATGTCTCGCGAGGCGAATATGCAGCAATGAGGCTTATGGAAGAGACGGGTCCTGAGAACGCGAGCATCTATGTGTTGATCTCGAATTTCTATGCAGCGATTGGGAAGTGGGATATGGTTGAAGAATTGAGGGAAAAACTGAAGAAGAAAGGTTTGGTGAAAGCAGCAGGACACAGCAGCTTATTCATATGAATTACTTTTGTCTTTTTTTTTGTTTTGTCTCATTAGTTGTTGTCATCTCTAACACTTTATACTAAACACTTTTGTGACAAGAAACAGAACAAGTCCACTAAAGCGTAAAGCGCATTGCTGTTTGAACTGTTTCGTTAGTCTTAGTCAAAAACCACAAGACGACATAGTCAAGATAGAGCAGCATTGACTTGCGATTAGGAGTAGGTGAAAGGGCAATGTCACAGATGGTTTTAAGATGAGGAGTCGTTGGGATTAGGACAAGAGAAGTCAAATGATGTGTCTTATTCAAAACTCTCCACTTGACTCTTTCTTTCTTAAAAACAAGATCACCAGCATAAGAGGGTAATGATTCAACCACCAACAGAGACTTAATCAGAACAGAACACGATGATTAGAGCGATGAGCACGAGGAAGGATCGAGGCGGCTACAAGAAGCTCGGTGACGAAGAAGAAGCACCAGGCGTTGGGCTTTTAGAAGGGAAAGTGCAGAGCGTTCCAGCGGAGGTGAATAAACCGGCGGAGAAAGCAGGCGGTTTGGTTCACCCAGTTCTGAGTTTCTTCGATATTCGGTTACAGTGGAAGAAGAAGACAAAGAAGAAGAACACGACGACTGCGAAGCCAGAGTTCGCTAGGTACATGGAGTATGTCAAGGAAGCAGGCGTTTGGGATGCTACTTCAGATGGACCTGTCATATATTACAGATAGAGATTACTGTATGGAGAAGAGAGAGAACAAAAGAGAGGTTGTATAATATAAATCTATTTTCGGTTTGTGAAAAATCTTCGATTTCAATAAAAATATGAAAAACAGTATACATCATCAAAGTGGAAAGCTCGCCATGATTTTGCTTCTTGTGTGCATGTATAAAAATTTAAAGTTCAATAGATAAATTCCCGATTTATTAAAAACAAAAGAAGAAGATTGGCTATGATTAAAAGAAAAAGATTTGGCTAAAACTAAAATAATTAGATGAACACTAGCATGTCAGCAAATTAAAACAGCAACTGAATTTTAGTATTTTTAAGACGTATAAAATTACTAAAAAGAAAAGACTACAAATTATGGCAAAAAATATACAGTATGTAGAAAGCTACTAACTATGGCCCAAAAAATACTACATAGCTAGCAACATATGTTATCAAATACACAGTTGGGCCCATGATGTACAAAACAAAAGGCTACAGGGAATTTTGTTTAACACGAGGAGATGCCACGTCACTGAGTATACAAAAAGATCCCTTAAACGCAGCCGTTTAGGTAATTCCGCAAAACCCTCGGAGCGATAAGACGGTGAATGCGCCTTGGAGAAGAGTTTTAGGTGTTGGTTGCGATTAAAGCCTTGGAGAAGAGGTTTATTGTTTTCCCTCCTCCTCTAGTACATATATATCTAATCCGTTTGCACTTTCTCGCACCATGATGTCATCTCAGTGCATCGCCACTCCATTGCCTTCCCTTCTTCCTCCGCCTGAGTGTGCCTTCCAATTTCCTCTTCTCCGTCGTTTGCGAGGTACTACTTTCTATTACTGCTTGTGTTGTTAGCTTCTGGAAATTCCATGTGATAATTTAGGTCACTGTTTCGGTATCTTCATCCGAGAATCACTGTTGGATTCAGTTTTGGTTTATGATACTGTAGCTACTAAGGTCTGTATGATATTGTTTGACTCAGATTGTGACCTGCTTGATATTGATTCCGGAGATTTTGTTCGATTTGTTTACTGTTTATGCTCATTCCTGTTCATATTTGCTGGATAAAGCTTCATGATTGTTCTATCAGAAATTGATTTCTAATTGGAATCTGGATTGATGCAGAACCATGCCTACATCTTCTGCCGCCGCTTTGGATAGATCACTAATGCCTGGGGATTCCAAATCCCATGAAATCCCAAGCACAAAAGCGTTTCATTCGATCTCAAATGCGGACAATGGTGAAAGTAATCAGTCGAAAGAAGAGGCATTCACACGTCCTCATCTCTACGCCACTCCGAAGGAAGTCCCACTTCCTTATTCTCCATCTTCCTCCCCTCCGTCTCCTTATATCATCAATCACAAGGCAAGAGGACCAGGTGGTCTTTTGAAGAGCTCCTCTGAGGTGGATGTGGAGGCTACTACTACCTCTTTGAGGAAGTCCTCGTCCTTATCACTTCTTATCGGCGAGGCTGTTGCAGAGGGTCACACCAAAGGCGTCCCTGAACGTCCTGTTTGGGATTGTAGTCCTCCTCGTGGGAGACTATTGAACGAAAAGTCTGCAAGCCATACCAGTAATGGTGGGACTGGAAGCAATAATGCTGACAATGGTGTAGAATGGGAAAGCTACCTGTTGGAGTCAGTCAGAATACGAGCAAACAAGGAGTTTTATAACAAAGGTCAATCAGTAAGCTTCACCGCTAACACTGAGTTAGAAGATGATGCAGGAGCTCAAAATTCACAAAAACTCTCTTCATCTGGAGGAGAATTTTATGATGCTTTCGATGGTAGTTTTCTACATCTCTTCGTCTTACTTACTATTACAATATGAGACGGCTGTAACTTCTTTTGATGCCTGACATAACCCATCACTTTTGTTTTGGCTGTGAGCATGGGAATCCTGTATGTTTAAGATTAGATGCGTTAGTCTCAGAAAACTGAATTTAAAAGCTCCCTTTTCCTGGCTTCCAGAACTATCAAGCGACAGCGGAACGCCGAGTTCAGTTAACAACATTGAAAGGGAGGCAAGGGGGATGAGGTTGAGTTTACTAATGGAAACCGAGAGGAGAAGGCAAGCAGAGGAGACTGTGGAGCAAATGCAAGTTCATTGGCGGAGGCTCCGAGAGCAGTTGGCCCACGTGGGTCTGTTCGTTCCTCTTGATCCTACCAGCAGCCAATACAGCATCAACATAGCTGATGAACTACGTTGTCAACTCCATATCGCCAGGTTTGTCTCTAACTCACTGGGAAATGACTTGGCCAAGGCAGAGGTTGAGATGGAGATGGAATCTCATCTCGAAGCTAAGAACTTTGAAATCACCCGCTTGTCTGACCGCCTTCACTATTACGAGACTGTGAACCAGGAAATGTCCCAGCGCAACCAAGAGGCCATAGGTAGAAGAAACTACATTTATATTTCCCACATGTTTGTTATTGTCATTTATTCTTCTTTATCTCAATGCTTCAACATTCTTGCTACCAGAGATGGCAAGGAGAGACGGGCAAAAGAGAAAGAGGAGGCAGAGGTGGATTTGGGGATCAATTGCAGCAACCATCATGCTCGGTGGTGCAGTCTTGGCTTGGCCGTACCTCCCTACTGCAATTTCATCATCGGATGCAGCTCAACCTACCGCCGTTGGAGACGAAGCAAAGCTTCAGGCCTTGTGAATCGAGAAATTTGAATATAGTTTTCCTTCTTTTTTGGCCTTGTTTCTAGAGAATGTATAGAACATACGATGAGGAAATAACACAGATTCATACCCGGTTTCCGGCTGCGACCGTGTATGGGATCATGGTCATACCAATTTGGTTAATTTCGTGTCTTCTTTTACTCTGCGTTTGCCTACTTTTAATCTTAAATTCACACGAAGGGTAAGTGAGCAGAAAAAATAATGGGAGGTTGAAATTAGCTATTTACTTAAAAGGGATGTCAATGGAAAAAAAAAAAAAAAAAGGTAAAACCGGCGTCGTTTGAAGATCATATTTCGTTCCTTGGCTAATCTCACAAACCAGTAGTCTTTTGAGGAAAGCACCACTGTGAGAACTGAGAGCTATCAATTCAAAAAACCACTACGACAATGGCGGTCTCTCCGCATATTTCGCCTACCCTTTCCCGCTACAAATTCTTCTCTACTTCCGTAGTTGAAAACCCTAATTTCCCTCCATATCATATCTATACTCGGCGGAGAGTTACCCAATCGCATCTTCAAGCGCACAACAGTACCAGTAGCTATGGCCGGACGGAACTCGCCCCCTCGAAGAAACTGTGGATTAGGCAGCGAAGCTTCAGAGAAATGGAGGTTGAGCAAGGGCAATTAGAAGATGAAGAAGAGCATGAGGACATGGACATCGGGGACGAGGCGAGTCTCCTCTCCCTGAGCATGAAGCCGGACAGGAACATGGCGTTGCTCGACGATTATGAGATGGAGGAGCTCGGACACACACCTGATACTAATCATCGCAGCGGTTTGCTTTCTTCTCCGTAATCCCCTTCCCACGTTCGACTTTGTTGTCACTGGGAAGATTGATTTTTGTGATGACGATGTTGTAGGATACGTGGCGGTTCTTGGGATGCCGAACGTCGGGAAAAGCACGCTTTCGAATCAAATGATTGGTCAGAAAATTTCGATTGTTACCGATAAACCTCAAACGACGAGGCATCGGATTCTCGGTATATGTTCTAGCCCAGATTATCAGGTCTGATTTTATCTTAGCTCTGTTGATTTTAGCTCTTAAACATAGGTAACAACTGTCTTGGATTGATGTAGACATTAATGCAAGCTTGTGTTGCAGATGATACTTTATGACACGCCTGGTGTAATCGAGAAGAAGATGCACAGGTTAGACACAATGATGATGAAGAATGTCCGAGATGCTGCCATCAATGCGGACTGCGTTGTAGTGCTTGTTGATGCATGTAAAACGCCTGCAAAAGTATGCTTCTCTCTTTGATTTCTATTTCTCCTCGACTGTAACTTGTAAAGTTTAGTTCCCTGTCATATACTTCTCTGGTGTTATTCGCTAGATAGAAGACGTTTTGAAAGAGGGTTTGGGAAACCTCGAGAAAAGACCACCTATGTTGCTTGTTATGAACAAGAAAGATCTGATCAAACCTGGTGAGGTTGCGAAGAGACTGGAGGTGAGTATGGTGTTTGTAGCTATCCTTGATCCTTGATTCATGGTTATTGAACTCCCACCATTCTTGCAGTGGTGGAAGATGCTTCCCTATATACTTGAGATCAAGATTTGGAGTCATGGTATATTCTTTGCTTAATAGATGCTCTGCAACTCCTTGCAGTGGTATGAAAAATTTACAGATGTCGATGAAGTTATACCCGTAAGTGCCAAGTATGGACATGGAGTAGAGGATGTAAAAGAGTGGATAGTATCCAAACTTCCCTTTGGGCCGCCTTATTATCCAAAGGTATAGTAAACAGCTCTCTCCTTCTCCTTGCTATAGAAGAGCTTTTTTTCTCTAATCTGCTTAAATTTGTGAGGTTTGTATATGTATGTTTCTACATATTCAATAATGTGCTTCCTTAATGTATAACGGGTATTGGACTTTGTAGGATATTGTGAGTGAGCACCCAGAGAGATTCTTTGTCGCTGAGATTGTTAGAGAGAAGATTTTTATGCAGTACCGAAATGAAGTTCCTTATGCATGTCAGGTAAAATGGCAAAGTTTGCAAACATCGCTTCTTCTTTCATGAGTCGTGTAAAAAGTTGTGGGCTTAATCATGTTGACTAATATCATTGCTTTGACGCGGCAGGTGAACGTGCTGAGCTACAAAACTAGACCAGCTGCAAAAGATTTTATTCAAGTGGAAGTAGTAGTTGACAAAAATTCTCAGAAGATCATCCTTATAGGAAAAGTAAGTATAAAAACACTTAAGCATCCAGACGGGTAGATGCTGATTTTCGTTGAGCCATTCTTGGCATAAACTGTTATTGCTGTGTTTTGTGGGCATTTATAAATTGCATATGAATCGATGAAACCGCAAATTGGGTTTATTAACTGTTGTGCTCAAAGATCAAAAAAGGTCGCAGCTTTAATAAAGTTGTATTGCTAACTTGTATGGCTAAAATGGGTTTCAATGTGGATACTGTAGGAAGGGAAGGCTTTGAAAACGCTAGCAACGGCTGCTCGGCTTGACATTGAAGATTTCCTTCAGAAAAAAGTCTTCCTCGAGGTGCTTATAAATTTGCATAGATTGTGATTGAATTTGATTACATCAAATGGTGTTGCAAATATTAATAAGTAAAACCATTTTTGCGGTGAACGAAGGTGGAAGTGAAAGTGAAAGAGAACTGGAGACAAGACGAGGGACTTCTCAAGTACTATGGCTATGGAGGACAGATCCGAGCTATGTAGTATTGACGGGTGGGTGGGTTAATGGGCTTAAAATGAGCCTTGAAGAAGATGGAAAAGTGCAAAATAGCACGGCTCAGGTTAGCTTTTCCATTTTCATTTTGTTTGTATTTAACCGATACGGCTCAGCCGCAGATTAGCTTTTTTTTGTTTTTAGTCTCAATCCAACGACTCCTTTGGAAATCAAAGCTCTTTCTTTCTTTTATTTTTTTTCTCCTTTTAAATTTGTTCCACCAACTAAACCCACCGAATAATTAATCTCATTTCATAATCACAGGTAAGTAGACAATCACAGGTAAGTAGACAGACCCTCAACCAAAATATATAAACAGTCACAATAACTTTTACTTTTTTTATTTAAAAAAAAAAAAAGAGAGGAGCTGAGCCGTGATTTATGGGTGTATTGGATTGGGTCGGGTCGGTGAAAGTAAGATCCGCTTACTGCGCTTATGCCATGTCTGGTTGATAGTGTGTGAGATGTTTGAAAGTGAGCCGAAAAAAATAAATTTGTGTCCTTGTTTTGTCGTCAGCCCAACCGAAAAATCTAGGAGCAACGGCACATGAGCTTCTTTATTATTATTTTCTTTGCCTTTTACATTAAATAGAGAGGCCGACCCACAATATATAATAAACAAAGGAAAGTTAGATGGCTCTGCATGTATACTACTATCCATGAGACGGAAGACGCGTGGGTTGCTGTCCTAAGAACCCACAAAATGCTGCCACATGTAACGTGATCCGATGCTGAAGCAGTGAAGCATGTGTACGGTTACGCTTACGTGTTAAGTGTTAACTGGGACCCATTTGCTGGTTTCACGGTCACGACCTCTTTTCCTTAATTGGGACCAAAATTAGCGGAATCACCTGCTTTGCTTCCTACTTAAATTAACTCCCTCTTTACCAAAAACGTTTCTATGAGCATTACAGATTACTTACCCTTTTGGCTTTACATAAAAGATTTTATTCTCTTTCATAATAACAATTTGAATTTTGAGAAAAGATAGCAAAAATACATGAATGTGCGTGTACAACACACTCTTAAATGAGCGTTATGCTTTAAAACGGTTGTAGTTTTGGTCCATAAATACCCCACTCAAAGACAAGCGAGAAGACTGTAAGAAGCACGCCTCAAATCACAAAAGAAGATGAAGCTTCTGGGTCTGATTACATTCCTGTCGATCGTACTCCAACAAAGCTGCTGGAAGCTACGAGCTGATGCGTTTTCGAGCGATGGGTTCGTGAGGACGAAAGGTGTTCAGTTTAGCCTCAATGGCTATCCTTACTACGCTAATGGCTTCAATGCCTATTGGCTCATGTACGTCGCCTCCGACCCATCCCAAAGGTCTAAGATCTCCGCCGCGTTTCAAGAAGCTTCTCGCCATGGATTGACAGTTGCTCGAACCTGGGCTTTCAGTGACGGCGGTTACAGGCCTCTCCAGTTTTCCCCTGGCTCTTACAATGAGGATATGTTTCAGGTAACTCCATTTGAGCGATTCTGTGGGTTTTTTTTTTTCACTTTCTCGTTTTAAAAAATGGGTTTAGATCAGAATGAAAACACTCGCACAACTTATTATTTGGTCTTAATTTTCTTTGCAATTTTTTTGGGCAAATCTGAGATGCTCTGTTTATTCTAAAGATCTGTGGTCTTTGGTGTTGAAAAGGGTTTGGACTTTGCGATAGCTGAAGCAAGAAGGCATGGTATAAAGATAATACTCAGCTTTGCCAACAACTACGTGAGCTTCGGAGGGAAGAAGCAATATGTGGATTGGGCTAGAAGCCGAGGCCGTCCCGTGTCTTCTGAAGATGACTTCTTCACAGACTCTCTTGTTAAAGATTTTTACAAGAACCATATCAAGGTTTTCAATTTTAACCTTAATCTTCTCTTTCTTGTGTAGATATATATTCAACCAAAAGCCCAACAAAAAAAAAGTGATGGCTTTTTGATTTCTTCTGCAGGCTGTGCTGAACAGATTCAATACCTTCACCAAAGTTCATTACAAAGATGACCCAACCATTATGGCTTGGGAGCTCATGAACGAGCCTCGCTGCCCATCAGATCCAACCGGGCGAACCATTCAGGTTTCACTTAAAACACATTTTCGCAACATTGTTACTCTGTTGTAGTCTTTCTTTGCGTAAATCTAAACTTGTTGTACTTTTCCATTATAACAGGCTTGGATTACTGAGATGGCAGCTCATGTGAAATCACTAGACAGAAACCATCTGCTTGAAGCTGGCCTCGAAGGTTTCTACGGCCAGTCCTCGCCTCAGAGCAAGACACTTAACCCACCCGGCCAGTTTGGAACCGATTTCATCGCCAATAACCGAGTCCCGGGCATTGATTTCGTCACGGTTCACTCTTACCCGGACGAATGGTAATGCCGTAAACTCCTTCCTTTTTTTGGAATATAAAGCAGCTCCAAGCTTTCATTTTGCTGATTTTGGTTTGGTTTTGCAGGTTTGTAGACTCAAGCGAGGCCTATCAAATGGAATTCTTAAACAAATGGGTGGACGCACACATCCAAGACGCTGAGAACGTACTTCACAAACCAATAATCATAGCAGAATTTGGTAAATCGGTGAAGAAAGCAGGATATTCTCCAGCGCAGAGAGACAGTGTGTTCAACACGGTGTACAGCAAGATCTACGGGTCTGCAAAAAGAGGAGGCGCAGCAGCAGGAGGATTGTTTTGGCAGCTTCTCGGCGATGGAATGGATAATTTTCAAGATGGGTATGGCATCATTCTCAGCCAAAGCTCTTCAACGGTTAATCTCATTGCGCAGCAATCCCGCAAGTTGACTCTCATTCGTAAAATCTTCGCTAGGATGATCAACGTTGATAAATGGAAGAGAGCCAGAGCCCAGGGCAGAGTAAGAAAAGGAGGTCACAAACATTGAAACTGAATACTAAACAGGCTCTTCCTGTTATCTTCTCTTTTTCTAGCGAACGATCTCAACTCGTTCAAGAAAGTTTTTAGTGATAGATTTAATATTTACATATAGTTTTTTTCCGGTCGTGATGAACTTTATTAGTGGACGAGGATGTTAAAAGAAGAAGGTTTATTAAACCTACGCCGACAAATTAGTGCTAGAAGATAAACGACTCCGTTTAGTTAGTAATGGGCTTCGAAACATAAGGCCTAAAACCTTCTTCTCCGAAACTGGGTTGAGGCAAAGCTAACTAAACTGGAAACGTATAAAAAAATTGTTGCTCAGCAACGCAGTGTAAGGACAACGTGCCGTTTTATGTTTGACTCAGTTAGATAAAAGTTAGGACAACGTGCCGTTTTAGTAAAATAGATTGGAACTGTGTGGCGTGGCGTTTACGTCGTCTAGTCAATGTTTCCCCAAGCAAAAAAAACTTTAAAAAAAACATGATTTTGACTGTTGCGAGAAATGGCGACAGAATCCGACGGTTTTGTGCAGCTTCGATCTCATTGCTTGAGAGACCGGTCGAGAAATCACGTTTCTCAAATCAGGTGGTTGCTTTCGAGACAAACTCTCAGCTTCGAGATCTCGTCGATTCCAGGAAATTGCGTGCTGCGCGCCAACTGTTTGATCAAATGCCACACAGAGACATCGTTTCATGGACAGCCATCATTCAGGGATACGTGACTGCAACAAACCCTCACGAAGCACTGATTCTGTTCTCTGCAATGCGTGCTGATCCTAGTGTCTCAGCCGACACTTACGTTCTAAGTGTTGCACTCAAGGCTTGTGGTCAAAGTTCCAACATTGCATATGGAGAATCTTTACATGCTTTTGCGGAGAAGACTTTCCTGCTGAGCTCTGTCTTCGTGGGCAGTGCTTTATTGGATATGTACATGAGAAGTGGAAATATCGACACGAGTTTCAGAGTTTTCAGCGAAATGCCTCTTAGGAATACGGTAACATGGACGGCACTCATTACGGGGTTGGTTCACGCCGGTCGTCACAAGGAAGGGCTTATGTACTTTTCCGAGATGTCGAGATTCAAAGAACTGACTGATACTTTTACATTCGCAATTGCCTTGAAGGCTTGTGCCGGTTTGCGCCACGTTAGATACGGAAAGGAGATTCATACTCATGTGATAGTGAAAGGCTTTGGTGCGATTCTCTGCGTGGTTAACTCCCTCGCTACAATGTACACTGAATGTGGGGAGATGCAAGACGGGCTGCGTTTGTTCGAAAGTATGAGTGAGAAGGATGTGGTTTCGTGGACAAGCCTTATCACGGCTTATAGTCGAATAGGTCAAGAGGAAAAAGCTGTGAACACATTCTTACAGATGAGAAATTCTCAAGTACCTCCCAATGAACAAACTTTTGCGTCCATCTTTGCAGCGTGCGCGAGACTCTCTAGGCTTGTGTGGGGCGAGCAGCTCCACGGTAATGTTTTCTCTCTAGGGGTAGTAGATTTTTTGTCAGTGAGTAACTCGATGATGAAGATGTATTCAACATGTGGGAAGTTAGACTCTGCTTCTGTTTTGTTTCAAGGAATGAGATGCAGGGACATTATTTCGTGGAGCACGATTATCGGAGGGTACTCTCAAGCCGGTCTCGGAGAAGAAGTTTTTAGATATTTCTCATGGATGAGACGAGTGGGGCCAAAACCAACGGATTTTTCTCTTGCTAGTTTGCTGAGTGTTTCAGGAATCATGGCAGCTCTTGAGCAAGGCAGGCAAGTTCATGCGCTTGCTTTTTACCTTGGTTTGGAACAGAACCCCATTATTCGTAGTGCTCTGATCAATATGTACTCGAAATGTGGAAGTATCATAGAAGCTTCCAAGGTTTTTGAAGAAACCGATAGAGCTGATATTCTTTCTATGACATCTATGATCAATGGATATGCAGAACATGGGAAGTGCAAAGAAGCGGTTGATCTGTTTGAGAAGAGTCTAAAGCTTGGTTTCATACCTGACGATGTAACTTTCATCAGCGTTCTCACTGCCTGCTCTCATTCGGGACAGCTTGACCTCGGTTTTCAATACTTCAACTTGATGCAAGAGAAGTATAATATGACACCAGTCAAGGAACACTATGGTTGCATGGTTGATCTTCTATGTAGAGCAGGACGGCTCAATGATGCAGAGAAGATGGTCAACGAGATGCCATGGAAGAAGGACGACGTAGTCTGGACCACGCTTCTCAGAGCGTGCCAGGACAAAGGGGACACTGAACGTGGAAGAAGGGCGGCCGAGAGGATTCTAGAGCTTGATCCAACTTCTTCTACTACACTTGTAACACTCGCCAATATATATTCAAGCACAGGGAAATGGAAAGAGGCTGCAAATGCAAGGAAGAGTATGAAGTCGAAAGGCGTGATCAAAGATCTCGGATGGTCATCAATTTTGATCAAGGATCAGGTTTTGGCGTTTGCGTCTGGCGGTTGGTCCCATCCACAAAGTGAAGATATATACAGTATCTTGGAATTAGTAGTATCTGGTGCAGAGGCTCATAGATACGATTTGTGCAATAAAGAGACCTTATGGGTTCATCCAAATTTGTGATCCTTAATTCTAACATGTCCCAGGCGATCTAACACAAGTAGTGTTGGTTGCCATATAGCTCAAACAATAGAATAATGAAATGGGAATCAAAGGAATTCTTTTAAAACTCTTTAATTTGTATCTTTCTTGTCATCTGTCGTCTTTAAACCAGTTACCTAGCACATATACTACAAAACCTAGAGCAGATGCAGCAGCAACCGCAAAGACGGCTACTTGTACTGGGAATGATGAGGCAAAAGCTTGGAGGACAAAAGAGTTCCAAGTGATGTACCATAAGGTGGAGTAAGCAGAACCCAAGATTGCACCCACCACCACTTGACTGGTCGTGTGAAGCTTCTGGGAAACCCTTAAATATGTCTGCGTACAATTCACATCAGTTATGGCGTAAGCGAATGATCTCGTTTACATGATCTACTCTAGTTTTCATTTGTTCATTTCCAGGTATGAAGACTTACAAAGTAAGAACCCAATGCGAGGATGAGGCCGCTAAGGAACAGAGAGAGATCATTGGTTCCAAGCCACTCCATAACTGCGGAAACATGAGTAAAGTCATTCTCTAAGAGTTGAACAAATGCAAAGATACAGAGAGATGTTGCATTGACTGCTTACCAGACAAGACAGTAAACACAGAGATGAAGGAAATGGATTGAGCATGAGAAGAAGGCATCCCAGGATCAGAACGCAGCGTTGCAACCGGTCTCTCTTGGTTAAGTATGCGTTTCAGAGCTGCCGAAAGCGCGGAATTTGAAACGGATCCAATCACAGCCCACAAAGCTGCACCGTCATGTCGTAGAAGCAGAACCGATCCAAATAGAGAAGCTACGATCCATTTGCTCTGCCATTTTGACAAAACCGAAATCTAAATTGAAGAAGTAACCAAAATGCAACCAAGAGAAAGGAGATTGCTTTTTCGATTAAAATCTTTCACAATCACAGGGGGTGCATTACGTCAAACAGGTTGTGTGCATCAGAGAATTCGAATACCAACCAGACGATTAGCGACGGCTTCGATGCCACCGCCGGCGACCAAATCGTTCTGGAGCTCCGACGGAGAATTGATGAAAGCCTCTTGCTCGAGCGCCTGAAACCGTTCTTCGCCGTCATTATTGTCGCCGTCTCTCCAAGCATGGGTCTTGACCGAATCTGTCATAGTTTTCGGGGCAGAGACAGGCCAGAATCTCCTCCGGCACAAAGGGAAGATTGAGCTCGAACTTCGATATCGAGCGGAATTGTTGTAAGCGTGAAAAGAGGAAGAAGCAGTAGAGAATCTGGAGATGGGTTTGTGGAGGAGAACAAGGGACGACGCTGCCATATCCAAGGAAAAAGTCAACCTAAAAGTCAAATCGATACAAGAGTATACAGAAATTAGAAACTTTAGGACCAATTCGTGAAGACGAAGAAGGAACAGATTGTACTTAATCTGTTGAAAGGGTGTGATGTTATATCTGGGAATTTGTGGTTATTATCACAATAAATCTGTCAATATCCAGCCGTCATCGTTATCTAGGATCTGCAGTAAGTATATACTCTTTCCTTTCCTCCAAAGCAAAACAAAAACTCAAAAGAATCAATGATGTACACGAAGAAGATGGATTATGGTTCTTCCATTGCGGACGTGTTTATAATTCTGCTTCCAGTCATGTGGCAAAGGCAAACTGTGCTCGTTTGCTACATCTTTCGTTCGTCAAAACTGGCACATTTTAAAAAAGGGGATATTAGTCCTAGTTATGGGCCTATCGATTTTGCTTATTTGCTTAACAATAGGCCCATTTGAAAATTCGTCAATCTGATTATCCATCCAACTTAGGTGGGATTGCTGGTGGGAAGGAATTTGTGCTTTTTTTCTTAACCAATGGAGAGAGATGGTAGAAAAAGATTAAAATGAAAATGTTTAACAAGTTGAATTGTTGAAACCCGAATATGATCGAAATAATGCATTAACGGTGAGAAAGCCGTGTACACGTCGTTTATGCTTCAGAATATTATTAATGTCTCATCGTTTCAGAACATTGTTGCTTATTTTGGAATTTTTTAGACATGCATGTGATGGTTATAATTTATATTTTGTACAATACACGAAAAATTCATGTATATTGGAGGTCGAATATGCTTAACAAACTAAAATAAAAGAAGGAACAAAATAATTGACCAATTAAATTACTATACGTACACTTAGAAATATATTCTTGTTTATCTTTTATAGATTTTACATATTCAGGCTGATGTGTAAATAGATTCTCGCACACAAAAGGCTTTTCTATTGAACTCACATAACTTCTTTTTATACAAAATAATAAATAATTTCTATTATAGCTTTTGGTTGAAAAAAAAATACAGTCGTAAAAGCACCGAATATCTCAGACAAACAAAAATCCACGGGTTTCTTAGTTTAAAGGACTTATTAATTAATTTACTCTACAAGAATGTTCTCCTCTCTTTATGATATCACTTTTTGCTTGTTTTGATCTTTTTTTTTCTTCTATATCCATAATATATATATATATATATATATATTCAAAGATGTATGATGCGTCTATCGCTGTGTCAAACTCAATCTACAAAGTACAGTTTTACACGATGTTGTGGCAGAAATTGAATAGGACTTGAGTCAAATATGAAAGAAAAACAAAATTAAAATTAGAGTTTGAAAGTGAAAAGGGATTAATATATGGTCCTGAAATTCATGATGATTTTATCACTGACCACATAGCTTACAGTGGTCAAAGTTTTGAATCGGGACCCCAACAAGGAAACAATCTTCTGCCCTACCTCCTCTTACTCGTCTCCTCCTATGACTGTTCTAGTATATATACATACATATTTTGGTCGTCATATCTATATAGTTAAGTAAAATACGATAAGATATATCATTTATATATATAGTTATATAAATTATATACTGATACAAATATACGCGTGCGTGCAACTGTGCGTCTGTGGATATAAGAATGATGCTAGGGAATGGTATTACATGCGCATAATTTAAAAGAGAACTAACTAAAGGAAGCAAATATATATATACACCATGCTGGCTCGAACAAGCCTCTATATCCATTAACATTTTGCCACTATCATAAAAGAAATCTTAATCTATTCATGTTATAAATGTATAATCAGCATATTAGAACTCCAGTTTTTGTCAATTTCTCAGTCTAAGTTTAATACTATAATTAGTTTCTTTCAAAAAAAAGTTTAATAATTAGTTGTAACATCGCGTTGACCACTAATTCTTGTGTTTTTCTCGGATCCGGTCAACTGTCCGATCCCCATCTAGTCACCGACATAAAGTACCTCATTTTAATATATCTTATCATTAACAACATGCCAACTTATTAAGATTGACAAAAACTGGAGTTTTCTTTATCTTTATCAATCATAATTTTTCCATGCTCATTTCTCATTACTGTCATGAAACATAAACCAGTCTAAGATATCTAAGAAAAGAAGATTGGGATCGGATACCATTAAATAATAAGTTAGAGTTTGCATTGATCAGTAAGAACAAGTCCTGGTAGTATAGAAAGGAAACGGTGATATGCATGGAAAATAAAAAGAGAAAGAGAGTAAAACAAATAATATAAAAACTGAAGGACTTATAAATAAAACGGTGAAATGCACGAGAAAGAGAAAGAGAGTTAAGCAAATACGAAGTGATACACTCTAACAGCGGTGGTTATACGGATGCCATACGCATCCCGTGAAAGAAAAGAAAAGAAAAGAAAAAACTGATTCTCTGTTACATCACCTTTTACAATTTTGCTCGGTCCATTTTTTTAGTTGTTTTTACAGTTATATATATATATATATATATAAGCTTTATAATCATGAGTCATTGAAAGTTACAGATTCTGTTATAACTCTGAATGAAAATGATTAACGGTAATGAATACAAAAATAAATAAATGAACCCACTGTCAAAACTAAAAACTGTCCAAAAACAAAACAAAACAGATTGTAGTATGAGTTACGAGTACTGTTGTTCTATTCTGATTAAATAACATTTTCCTTGATTAAACAGCATAATTTTCCATCTAGTTGTTATGCTAAAACTAATGCTCCATCCGTTTTAAAATAAATGCCGGGTTGACATTTTTATATAAATCCAAAATAGGAGGATGACTTCTTCTTATAAAAAAAATTAGTGCAAAGTATTTTTTGGATATTTGAATGGATATATATTATGTAACAGGGACAAGTGGTGCTCACATATGGAATAGAAACGGGAATATATATATATATATATATATAAGTTAGATATATAATTAAATTAAATGTTTAAAAAAGAGGGAAAAGTGACAATAATTTGAAGAAAAGAAAAGGGGAGTGTATGTCTGTCTGGTTGGGACTTGGGAGTGGAGAAGAGTCTATAAAAGAGAGATATGAGGGAAGAGGCATGCTCCACTTTTCTCCTTCTTTTCTTCTTCTTCTTCTCTCTCACACACGACTGTAAAATCCTCCTTCGAGTCTCTTCTTTCTCGCAACAATGGATTTCGATAACGTGAAAGCAGAGAAAGCCAAGGCGTTGCGGCTATACACTCGTTTCCGGAGAATCGGACGTTTTTTCCGTGCAGCGGAGGTTTGCCTCGCTGTCCTCTTCGTCTTTTGGACATTTACGCGCCTTCCTTTCGCCGTCCAAACCTCCGGAGAGTTTCTCCGCCGTATCGCCGCCGTTGTATCGTCTCCTCTGTTCGTCTTCCTCCTCGGGAATTTCATCGTCGTTATTCTCCTCACCAAATCCTCTGTTCAGACAACCGACGGATCCCCCGCCGTCGCCGGCGCGGATGCCGAGATCTACCAGGCGTTCGTAAGATCTGTAGAGAATCGATGCAAGCCGTCCGATGAAGATTCGACGGAAGAGGAGGTCATTTACGACGACAAACAGGTGATCGTCACTGATTTGAATCCCAATCCAAATCCAAATCTAGTCGCGGATGAAAAGGTCCGAGTCGAGATTGATCCGGATTCAGTTTCCGATCATCAGCTCAAAGTCTATCGAAGAAGCAAATCCGACGTCGTGTCTGCAAAACAGAGTCCAGACATGGTGATTAAACGTTCTCTCCAGAGATCGGAGACGGAGAAGTGCAGGAAAGCTGAGGAAGATTCGGACGGAGAGGATAAGAATTATCCAGAGGATAACCTTAGCAACGAAGAGTTTCAGAAAACGATCGAAGCTTTCATAGCCAAACAGCTCATGTTTCGTCGCCAAGAATCTTTAGCCGTCGTTGTCCATAACAAAGCCTAATTAGGGCATCAGATTCTGATTCCAAACAGACAAAAGTTTTGTCAAGAAACACCTCTCAACAAAAACTAAACCATATGGAATCCTATTTCAATATTCCGTGTGTATGAAATCTACCTCTATGTACAGTAGTAATTAGTATTAGTTGCTTATTATGGAAGATATCTTGTCTACATATTGTTGTTAACTACTTGTTATGTTCAGTGTCACTTCCTCAAGTCTAATGATACAGACTTGAAGTATAAATGTTGTCTCGTGGTACTGAAATTATGGCATATACTGTATCATTCCAACCCTCTTTTAAGTTTTAGTGTTATCCAAGAAACAATCAATTTAGGTCTATCTTTTTTTTTTTATCTTCGCATGAAACCTTCAGGGTTACTTCAACAAAATAAAAACAATTGCGTTTACTAAACAAGTATCTATATAGAGTGATTTAACATCAACGTGTACTATATACAGACATACAGTATATATATAAGAGTTTGCAAGCGCTAAAATTCTTCGAAAACTTTTGATTTCAAAGTAGGACCTCTTAAACACGAGCCAATATTGCCAATGATATTTGTGTTCTTATTTAATATATATAGTTTATTAACTCTCACACTTTTTATTTTTATTTTTGTCCCACAGTATTTCGCTCATAATTGCGTTTTGAACTTTTACACCGACTAAGTCTCATGCCTGCAATAATTAACCATGCAAGAACACCTCCATGTACTCGAGGGGAATTTGAAAGCGTGGATATATTAGTTATGAAGATTAGATGCAAATGCAAATTATCCCAAAAATATTTAACCGCGTGTCGATTCAAATACAAGCATCATAGATTGTAATTAGCAATGGCAATAGTATTTGGATCTTAGTGGGATTGGCAAAAACCGGAAAGAGAATGCGTACTTGAATAGTTTACTAATACTATTGATGAATTATAGTGAAGGAAGCTTCATTTCTAATGCTTCAAGTGAATGATTGATGGTCTAGTAAGTCATCATCTCAGTGATCTCGTAGTCTTCGATTATAAGATTAAAATAGAAAGAAATTTAATAGAAAAATAGTATTAATTGCTGAAGCGGCCGTGTTTCTGATGGGTATTGGCACCAATCATAGTGTAATAATTTCGAATGCAAAAAGTTTAAAATTTTCACTTTTATGCAGACACCCACGCAGAAAAATTAAGAAGAAAAGTGACTTTATTTTCACTAAGTCCCGTAATCTCTGCTCAACCAAAATAAAAGTCGGTTCTTTTACCCTTCTTTTGACGGATTTGGATTCTCTGATATTTGAACCGATCCATCTTTTGCATAATACACTACTAGTATTTTAAAATAATTTTTGTTTGAATTTGATTTCTGTTTGTTGCATTTAATTTAATTAAATTATAGGCGCACTCTTTTTTATTGTGAGCAATCATGATATTTCCACCACGAGCGGCGATTGCCATTGGTGTTGTTGGATTTGTCATTAAGCAACTTCACCATCAATAGGCCTTTTTTCCAACACGATTTTTGAGAGATAAAATTGAATAATAATTCGACGTTTAAAGAAAACTATGGCAGTTGGCATTTCTAAATTCGTCCG